GATGCACTGAAAACTGTAATGCCTGCAGCTGGCATTGGTCAACAGAAAGGGCCCAATTCTTCTCCAGGACAACGCCCAACCACATGTCACACAACCAATGCTTCAAAACTTGAATGAATTGGGCTGTGAAGTTTTGCCTCATCCGCCTTATTCACCTGACCTCTCGCCAACTGACTACCACTTCTTCAAGCGTCTCCACAACTTTCTGCAGGGAAAACTCTTCCACCATCAGCAGGATATGAAAAATGCTTTCCAAGAGTCTGTGGAATCCTGAAGCATGGATTTTTATGCTACAGGAATAAAGGAACATTTCTTGTTGGCAATAATGTGTTGCTTATAATAGTTCCTATTTTGATTAATAAAGATGTGTTTGAGCCTAGTTATAATGATTTAAAATTCATGGTCAGAGACTGCAATTACCTTTGCACCAACCTAATAGTTTTGGTTTCTATTCTTAGTTCTTTGTTGTACCCTGTAAAGCTCAGATTACATTATCTAGAGCTCCAAGCTCTGCTGGAGACCAGAAGTTTCATTCTGGGACTAATATGAAGGAGAAACTTTTTTTTTTTTGGCCTTGGAAGAACTGTCATTTTTAAGAGTAACATATCCAGAGGGGGACATGGTCGTTTTCTTGCCTTCGTTAGGCAAATGGAAGCCATATGGGCTATAATCAAGACCCTAAAGGTAGAGGAGAGTGATTTCAATAAAATGGTGGAATAGGAGTTTTCTACCATCATCTCCCCCTGAAGTATTGATTTTGACAACCACCCACAGATGACAGCACCTTTATGGGAGCCCAGGTGTCTAGTAGAGAAGTTCCAGCACACTATTGGAGTAAAAACTCCAAGAATAGATGCATCGAAGAGGATGAGAAGAACAATTTCCCTTTACCCTTATCAGTCCTCCCCCAGGGCAGCACAACTCCATGCCAAGAAACATCTCCTGAGCCCATGATGTCTTCCACGGGAAAAAGTGAGAGTGTAGTGAGTGAGCACCTGGCTCCTCCAGCCGTGCTCAACACTGCCCAAGGGGCCCACTTCTTTCTCACCTCACACAGAATATTGAGGTAGTTAGCTCAGCTGAGGGGTTGAGGGAGGCTAAGAGCAGGGAAGATGGGCAGGGATTCACAGCAACCAAGGTTTGGAGCTCAATGAAAGGCCATGGATCCTACTTAGTGCTTCAGGGACTTCATCAGGATCCTCACCCATATGCTGGTTGGGTTGCTTCACCTGCAGACCCCATCCCAACTGACCCACAGGCACCGCCACTGCTTCACTGTCCCCACCCTGTAGCCGGTTCCCCAAGGACAGGGCGTGTAAGCCTCTGCTGGATGGCATGCACAGACAGAGCCTGACTCCATGGGATTGGGAGAAATTTGAGCATTTCAGGGCAGCTCTCCTGAGAACACAAACAGGAGGCTCTCAGCATTTGGCCTGGCTTTGCAGGATTGAGAGAAGGCATACAATCTTAAGAATCCTCTCCAAAGAGGGGGCAAGAAGTATGGAGCAGGTGCATGCATAGAAAACATCTGAGAGAGCCTCAAAATCCCTTTCTGAGCTGACTGGCGAAGGTTTTCTCTCCTGAGGCCAGTCAGGAGAGACTGGAGGACATGACTGCATCTTCAAACGTGAAGACAGAAACTCAGGACATAGGGAATATGAAAAATCAAGGAAACATGACACCGCCAAAGAAACACTGTAATTTTTCAGTAACAACTCCCCCCACCCATGGAGATCTGTACATTTCCTGACAACTAATTCAAAATAATTGTGTTAAGGTAGCATAGCAAGCTACAAGAGAACACAAAAAATTCAGTGAAATCAGGAAGACAATACATGAATAAATTGAGAATTTTAGCAAAGAGATAGAAATCAAAAAACAAACAATGTATAAGTCAGAGGATACACAGTAGCAGATATATAGGGGAGAACAAGTCTAGAGATCGAACATACAACATGAGGACTGTCGGTAATAAAATTGTACTGTATATGGGATTTATGCTAAATAAGTAGATTTAAGCTGCTCTTGCCACAAAAACAAAAAAACTGGATAACTATGTGAAATGATGAGTATGTTAATTTGCTTCATTTAGTAACTTTTTACTATCTATATGTATCCCATAAAATCATGTTGGATACAGCTATACCTTAGAGATGGTGTGGGCTCAGTTCTAGACCACAGTAATAAAATGAGTATCACAGTAAAGTAAGTAACATGAATTTTTTGTTTCCCATTGCATATAGAAGTTATGTTTACACTATGCTTACTGTAGTCTAAAAAATGAACATACTTAAATTAAAAATATTTTATTGGTAAAAAAACACTAACATAGGAGCCTTCAGTGAGCCATAATCATTTTGCTGGTGGAGGGTCTTGCCTCGATGTTGATGGCTGCTAATGATGAGGGTGGTGTGCTTGCTGAAGTTTGGGGTGGCTGTAGAAATTTTATACAGTAAGACAACAATGAAGTTTGCCACATTGGTTGACTCTTCCTTTCAAAAAAGATCTCTCTGTAGCATGTGATGCTATTTGATAGCAATTTACCCATGGTAGAACTTCTTTCAACTGGAGTCAATCCTCTCAAACTCTGTTGCTGCTTATTCAATTCAGTTCAGGTAATATTATAAATCCTTTGTTGTCATTTCAGCAATGTTCATCTTTGCCAGGAGTAGATTCCATCTCAAGAAACTACTTTTCTTTGCTCATCCATAAGAAGCAATTCCTCATCTGTTCACGTTTTAACATAAGATTGCAGCCATTCAGTCCCATCTTAAGGCTCCACTTCTAGTTCTCTTGCTATTTCCACCACATCTGTAGACATCCACTGAATTCTTAAGCTCCTCAAAGTCATCCATGAGGATTGGAATCAACATCTTCCAAACTCCTATTAATGTTGATATTTTGACCTTCTCCCATGAATCATGAATGTTCCTAATGACATCTAGAATAGTGAGTGCATTCCAGAAGGTTTTCAATTAACTTTGCCCAAATCCATCAGAGGAATCACTATCTATGGCAGCTCTCACCTTATAAAATGTATTTCTTAAGTTATAAGACTTAAAAGTCAAAATTATTACTTGATCCACAGGCTACAAAATGAATATTGTGTTAGCAGGCATGAAAAACATGAATATCCTTGTACATCTCTATAAGAGCTCATGAGTATCCAGGTGCATTGTCAATGAGCAGTAATATTTTGAAAGGAATATTTTTTTCTGAGCAGTAGGTCTCAACAGTAGGCTTAAAATATTCAGTAAACCATGCTGTAAACAGATGTGCTCTCATCCAGGCTTTGTTGTTCCATTTATAGAGCATAGGCTGAGTAGATTTAGCCCAATTTTTAAAGGACCTAGGATTTTCAGAATGGAAAATAAGAATTGGGTTCAACTTAAAATCACCAGCTGCATTAGCCCCTAACAAGAGAATCAGCCTGTTGTTTGAAGCTTTGAAGGCAGGTCTTGACTTCTCTCTAGCTATGAAAGTCCTAGGTGACATATTCTTCCAATATCAGGCTGTTTGATATACATTGAAAATATGTTTATAGTAGCCACCTTCATCAATTATCTTAGCTAGATATGGATAACTTACTGCAGCTTCTCCATCAGCACTTGCTGGTTTTGCTTTGTTTTGTTTTGTTTTTGTTTGTTTTGAATATGACATCAATAGCAAAGGCAACTAAAGCAAAAATAAACAAGTGAGACTATATCAAAATAAAATGTTTCTGTACCAGAAAGGAAATAATCAACAAAATGAAAAGATATCCTACAGAATGGGAGAAAATAATTGTAAGCCATCTCTCAGATAAGGGATTAATATCCAAAACATAAAAGGTACTCATATAACTCAACAACAAATAAACACCCTGATAAAAAATTGGCAAATGACTTGAATAGACATTTTTCCAAAGAACACATACAAATAGCCAAAAAGTATATATTGTAAGAATGTGCTCAACATCACTGATCATCAGGGAAATGGGAAATGGAAATCAATACCACAACCAAGTATCACCTCACACCTGTTAGGATAGCTACTATGAAAAAGTCAAATGATAACAAGTGTTGGCAAAGATGTGGTGAAGAGGGAACCCTTGTGCACTGTTGGTGGGGAGGTAAATTGGTACAGCAACTATGGAAAACAGCATAGAGGTTGCTCAAAAAATTAAAAATGGAATTACTATATGATTTAGCAATCCCACTGATATATATCCAAAGGAAATAAAATCATTATCTTGAAAGAGATAGCTGTACTCTCATGTTCTTGCAGCATTATTCACAATAGTCAACATGTAGAAACAACCTAAGTGTCCACTGATGAATGGATAAAGAAAACATGGTGTGCATATATATATATGTATATATATATATATATAATATTATTATTCAGCCTTAAAAAAAAAAGAAAGAAAATCCTGCCATTTGTGACAATGTGGGTGAACCTGGAGGACCTTATGCTAAATGAAATAAGCCAGGCCCAGAAAGACAAATATTGCATGATCTCACTTATCTGCCAAATCTAAAAAAGTCAAACTTATAGAAACAGAGAGCATAATGGTGGTTACCAGGCACTGTAGGGTGAGGGAAACGGGGAGATGTTGGTCAAAGGGTACAAACTTTCAGTGAAAGACAAAGTTCTGGGGACTTAATGTACAGCACAGTGATTATGGTTAATAAAAATGTATACTTGAAGTTTGCTGAGAGTAGATCTCAAGTGTTCTCACTACACACTTCCCTGCCCCCCACATACACACGTGCACGTGCACAATACACACACACACACACACACACGCGGTAACTATGTGAGATGACTGATATGCTATTAGCTTGATTGTGGTAATCGTTTCACAATATATACATATATCCAAACATTATGTTGTACATCTCAAATACATATGATTTTTATTTGTCAATCATAGCTCACTAAAGCTGGAGGGAGAAACCTAAAAGAAACACAGCAACCTGGGCAAAAGGGCTCGGAAAAACCGATCATGTTGCACTTGCCTTTAGCAGCTGTAGTCTCCTTGGTGTTGGCCTGGCAGAGTGGCAGATTCCAGGCAGACCTGTTTGGCAATGGCATCCTAAAGAAAGCAAGTAGAAGAAACAAGTTTTAAGTTTGTGGATTTATAAATCATATGAAGCCTGTGGATTTATAGGAATTTCATTTTTCATTTGGTTTCTTAAACTTTTGCTTCTTCTTTTCCCTCTTTCCACACTCCCAACCATAACCCCACACGCCCAACCATAACCCCACACTTCCATTAAATCAACCCAAATTGGACTTTCTCATTGCCTTTAGTGATTTGTTTTCTGGTTTGTGATAAAAGGGTAAAATTTTCAACTTCTGTGTATGAAAAGCTCAAACATTAAGTTTATAAGTATTTCAACAGGATTTATGAGTGTTTCTCTAGGGAGTTGTTTTCAAAATAAGATAAGTGCTATGAATGGAATATGAAAGATTATAGTAATTATGCTTATTTCCAAATAAAACTGAAACTGAATTATCAGTGGAGTAATTTCGGGACTCATAAATGCAATGTCTATCCTTCCAAACACATCTGCAGCTCCGTTTCCCCGAATCCAGACATAACACCCTTTTTAAGCAAGCAGGAGTTATTTTGTACAGAATGAACAAAGTTGTCAATTCCTAAAGTACAACACATGGTGATAATTGTTTTATGGCCTCTGATTGAAGGAGGGGGGTCTCCAAGCTTCGGGAACCTGTAACTTTGTGTATGAGGTAGGGGTAGAATGAAATTATGTCAGCCTGAAGAGTCCTAAAATGCTCCTATATGTGTATTCAGCCCACAAACCAGCACTAATCATACCTGAGACGGGAGCTGGTGGTGCACCTTGCATTTTCCCTCTTCTAACCTACACCAGCAATTGAATCACCTGAAGGTATTAATTTAAATATGCAGATTTATGAGCTCAACTCCCAGTAATTATGTTTCAGTAGTTTGGGACAGATGGTTCTGATACAGGTAGTCAATGGATTCTTTGCTTCTCTACTTTTTTTTTTTTTGTCACCACTTAGTTTCATTTGGGCCGGTTTCTTTTGAGTTTTTTTTTTTTTTTTTTTTGAGACAGAGTCTTGCTTTGTTGTCCAGGCTAGAGTGAGTGCCGTGGCGTCAGCCTAGCTCACAGCAACCTCAAACTCCTGGGCTCGAGTGATCCTTCTGCCTCAGCCTCCCGAGTAGCTGGGACTACAGGCATGTGCCACCATGCCCGGCTAATTTTATATATATATATTAGTTGGCCAATTAATTTCTTTCTATTTATAGTAGAGACGGGGTCTCGCTCTTGCTCAGGCTGGTTTTGAACTCCTGACCTTGAGCAATCCGCCCGCCTCAGCCTCCCAAGAGCTAGGATTACAGGCGTGAGCCACAGCGCCCGGCCTTCTTTTGAGTTTTATATAAAAGGAATTATACAGTGTGTATTGCATCTAGTTCAAAATGTGTACATTATTGAGTATAACGATAGTTTGTTCTTATTCATTGCTGTATATTACTCCATCATATGAACACACCACCGTCTATTTATTCTGTTGTTGATGAATAGTGCTTATTCTACAATATACTTGTTTTTGGTTTTTTGGCTATTATGAAAAATCCTGCTATAACATTCATGCCTTTGGGTACACATGTGAAATATATTTCAGTTGGATATATACTTAGGAGCAAAATTGCTAAGGCTTAGGATATCCAGAGTCAACTTTAGAAGACCAAATAGTTTTTCTAAAGAGCTGTATCAGTGCACATCCCCCTAGCTGTATAATGAGAGATCTCATTGTTCCACATCCTTAGCAACACTAAGTACTGATGGTCACTTAAATTTTAAACTTTCTAGAGGGTATGTAGAGTAAATTCATTGTGATTTTAATCTGCATTTCCTGATTGCTAATGTGGTTGAGCCCCTTAGATACATGTTTGGATATCTTGGTTTATTAATTTCATTTTGAATTTTCTTTTCTATTTTTCTAGTATGTTATCTGTTTTGGTACTCATTTTTAGGAGTTCTTCATATGTACCTATCATCTGTCTCATAGATACAAGCCCTTTGAATCAGTCACTGAGTTGAAAATATCTTCTTCCCTTTATACCTTTATGTATTTGGTTGAACAGAACTATTAATACTTAATTTTAAGGTAGTCCAATTTATCTGATTTTCTTTGTGTTTCAGTACTTTTTGTGTTCTGTTTAAGAAATCTTTGCCAATCTCAAGAGCATCAAGATATTCTCTTTATTGTCATCTAATGGCTTCATTGATTTGCCTTTTACATTTTGGTCTTTAATTCACCCGAATTAATCCACCTAGAGTTGAAAACATGGCCTTTCTCTGCTGCCCTGCCACCTTTTTTTTTCTTTTTTTTTATTGATAAATCAAGTGCTTATATATGCATGGGTCTGTCTCTTAGTTTTTTATTCTGTTCCATTGGTCTTTGTTTATTCTAGTGCTAGAATACAACTCTGCATTAATTACTAAAGCTTTATAATAAATTTGTTATCTGTTAAACAGGCCTTCTTAACTTGTTCTTTTGTGAGAATGTCCCAGCTATTTCCTGGCCCTGTATATTTCCATATAAATTTTAGAATCATCTTGTCAAATTCCATGAAAAACACCTATTGAAATGGTATTGAATCTATCAATCAATTTGAGGATAACTGACATTTGTACAATGTTGTCTTTCAATCCATGAACATGGTTTATCTCTCCATTTACTTAGATGTTCTGTACTTTCTTTCACTAATGTTTTCTAGTTTTCTGTGTAGAGATCCAACACATCTTTAATTACATTTATTCCCAGAGACATGATCTAATTTAGCCATATTGGATGTGACATATTTAAAAAATAATTTTTAACTGTTCCTGATAAGCACTAACTTTTTATTTCCTGTTTTAATTTATGCATTTATAGAAAATTTGTATTGTGCTAGTTTTCCTTTATTGTAAAAATCTATTTAACTTTTTTCTTTATTATAAAAATGTTTCTGCTCTCCATTCCACCTGTGTTACTTTTCTATTGCTGCTGTAACAAACTGATACTCCCTATTTCTCCTGTGGCTTTCAGCGAGCAAGCCCTGGCACAGTACTACTTGCTTTGAGAAGCATGACCCAACATACCGGCTGTTTTTTTACTCAGGGATTTGTCTCTCTACATACAAATTCAGAACGTAAAATCACTGCTTTTCAAACAATCTAGGACTATGCCAAAAGGTTTAGCCATAGTTATCACAACTTTTCCTCTTTTCTGGGCTTATATTCCTCTTAAGTGTCCATGATGCTGAATGAGGGAGATCAAAGTTGGCATAGAGAAATAATCTTTGTCCTGTAGTATGAAGGAGAGTAGAGGGGAACCCCCCCCCACACCACCACCAACATCCTGTGTCTTCTGACAGAGTGACTACTCAGAAGCCCCTGAAGTGACGTCACATGTGGTATTATCAGGCAGCCTTGTAGCTAGAACAGATTTTTCACTCTCTTCCAAACAGCATTTGCCATTATTTTCTGATTGTAAGAATATGCTACTTTGTTAAAGATCAATTGACTGTATTTATGTGGGTCTATTTCTGGGTTCTCTGTTTTGTTCCATTGATCTATTTGTTTATTCTTTTGCTAGTACTATATACTGTCTTGATTACTGTAGCTTTATAGTAAGTATTGAAGTTGGGTAGTATCAGTCCTCCAACTTTGTCCTTCTCCTTCAATATTATGTTGGCTATTCTTGGTCTTTTGTCCCTCCACATAAACTTTAGAATCACAAACTAACTGATTATGATTGCATTGAATCTGTAGACCAAGTTGGGAAGAACAGATATTTGGACAATATTGAATCTTTTTATCCATGGACATAAAGAAATCTCTCCATTTATTTAGTTATTTAGTTATTTTTTAATTTAATTCATCAGAATTTTTTTATTTCCTTTATATAGATCTTGTACATATTTTGTTAGATTTATACTTAAGTATTTCATTTTAGGGGATGCTAATGTAAATGGTGTTGTATTTTTTTATTTCAAATTCCACTTGTTCATTGCTTGTATATAGAAAGCAACTGAGTTTTGTATATTAACCTTGTATCCTGCAATCTTGCTGTAATAGCTTATTTGTTCCAGGAGAATGTTTTTTTACTGATTCTTTCAGATTTTCTATATAGATGATCATGTCATCTACAAATAAAGACAGTTTTATTTTTTCCTTCCCCATCTGTATACTGTTTCTTTCCTTTTCTTGCCTTAGTGCATTAGCTAAAACCCTTTTATAAAAAATAAAATTTTAATTTTAGAACACCTTCAGATTAATAGATGTATTGTAAAGGTAATGCAGAAAGTTTTCCTATATGCCACACCTAGGCTCCCCTATTGTTAGTACCTTATATTACTATGGTATATTTGTAAAAGCTAATAAACCAATGATGATATATTTTAACTAGAGTCCATACTTCATTCAGATTTTCTAAGTTTTCCCTAATGTCCTCCTTCTGTTCCAGGATCCCATCTCAGATACCACATTACATTTAGTAGTCATATCACATTATGCTCCTCATAGCTGTGATGGTTTCTCAGATGGTCCTTGTTTTCATAACCTTGACAACATGTTGATGATTAATGATCAGGTATTTTGTAGGATGTCCCTAAATTGGGATTTCTCTGATGTCTTTCTCATGTTTAGATGAGGATAATATGTTTTAGGCAGGATGATCACACAGGTAAACTACCACTCTTATCAAATCATACCAAGGATATAGACTATCAACATGGCTTATCATTGTCAATATTAATCTGATCACTTGGCTTGAGGTAGTGTTTGTCTGGTTTCCCCACTGTAAAGTTATTCTTTTCCCTTTCCATATTTATTGGAAGAAAGTCACTATGCACAGCTCACACTTAAGGATTAGTGAGTTATGCTCTACCACCTTGAGCATGAAGTAAATACATAAATTTGCAATTCTTCTGCATGGGAGATTTGGCCATTTTTCTTCAATTACTATATTTATTCAATCATTTATTTGTGGCAGAATTGATTCATGGACATTTATTTTATACACTGGGTTACAATCTAATACTACTTTATTTTGTTGTTCAAATTTTTTTCCAGCTTTGGCCATGGGGAGTTCTTTCAGTTGGCTCTATTGTAGGTTTTTTGTTTTGCTTTTTTTTTTTTTTTTTTTTTTGGCACTTTTGTCCTTTCTGGCACCAGAAGATGCTCTAGGCTCATCTTGTATATCTCCTGCCCCAGTCTAAAAATCAGCCATCTTCCCAAGGAATCTTGGTTCCTCTGATTTGAAAACAGTATTAAAAACCAAAATCTGGGTACCAGTTGTACTCATTGTGACAAAGTATTGCTTCTAGGCCCTCTAAGCTGATGGTCCATGCTGATATGTGCTAAGCACAGTGACTTTCTTCCAAAAAAAAAAGGAAATATATGTGTGCACACTAATCTATGTATACACATGTCTATAAATATTTTTATATGGAACCATCTATATCTATATTAAGCTACACATGAGTTCATACAGATGTATCCAATTCTAATCCATTACTGTATGGATTATTCTGGCCTCTCCCTGTTGCTTATCTTTAATCTCCCACTCCAGCAGCAATAAACTTTGCTCCCACAATCTGCCAGTTATTAATTATTCAATTTCAGTATACATGTATAGTGGTTTCAAGAATTGTTACCCAAACTGCCATGGGTAACAACTTTATCAACTACAGTACAGTGTTTATGTACAGTTCCTTTAGCCTTCTAGCCTTAAAAATTCCACTTATTTCCAAAGTTACTTAGATCAGCACTTTATTTCATTCCTTTGTAGTACATCTAGATTCCTTTGTTACATTCTATATTCCATCCTGGAATCCTCCAACCTGGTAAGTAATTTTTTTCAATTTGCATATATTAAGGTTTACTCTTTGTGCCATAAAGTGCTATGGGTTCTGACAAATACATCATGTCTTATAGTCATCATTATAGATGATGTAGTATAGTATCATACAGAATAGGTTCAACAAACTAGAACACCCCTGTGCTTCACCTATCCAACTCTTTCTCCATCCCCTGGCAACCACTGATTTGTTACTGTCTTCATTTTGTTTTTACAGAACGTCATATCATTGGAATCATATAGTATGTGACTTTTATTAGACTGGCATCTTTTACTTAGGAATATGGATCTAAGATTCATCCATGGCTTTTTGTACCTTGATACCTCATTTCTTTTTATTACTGAATAATATTCCATTTTTTGGAGGTACCCCAGTTTGTTTATTCATTCACCTATTGAAGGACATCTTGGTTCCTTCTATTAATAGTTTCTGGCAATTATGAATAAAGCTGCTATCAACATTCACATGGACATAAATTTTAAAATCAGCTAGGTAAATACAAAGGAGTATGATTTCTGGATCATATGGTAAGATTATCTCTAGTTTTATAAGAAACTTCCTTCCCTTTTTGCTTTTAACAAAGCACCCTATTTGTTTCCTTCAAAGCACAAAGGGTATATGTTTCCCTGGTGATCATTTCCCTCACTAGACTAAAAAGCTCATGAAGGCAGGGGCTATACCTGTATATGTTTTGATCATGGATAAAGCCCCAGACCTACACATAGACCTTATGTATAGTATGACTTTAATATTTAATTAATAAATGAATAAACAAAACATCAAGATAGCAATTTATATGTGCCTTAGTAATTCCAAAATGCAACTCTTTCCTTACGTGAATGTTGGCAGACAACTGAGATTAACACCAATATTTCATAATAGCTTAAGTTCAGTGTCACAGTGATCTCCTTTCTCCAAATGCAAGATCATTCTTTTTGCATGTTTATGAATTTTACATATTTGCTGTTAAAACTGATGCAGAACTAAATGATCAAGACTTCTACCAAGTTTCTTCTGTCTTATGCATTATGGATATTCAGTGTAGGTGGTGAATAAATATGGAGAATAAAGAGTATTTGTTTTTTATACTTTAATAGTTTTCTGACTTACATTTTAAATGATCAGTCATTTCATACTTTGTTCCAATAATCCCCCTTGGACAATTTTGACTTTATAGCAGTGTAAAACTGTTTGTCTATAGCCTTATAAAATTTTAATCAAACAGTTTTTGCTCAGAACTTAAAAGGACATTTGTCCTCGGGGCTAAAATTAAACATGAAAAAGATTAAAAACAAAAGCAAATTTAGAATATAATCAGTACTTTCAAAATGAGCTCAATCTGCCCTCCATCTTCATTTATAACACTTGTTTCTTCTTAGCCTCTAATGAAATAAGTAGTAGTTGTGTGAAAAATATAGTTACATTTCTGAGATTCCAAAACATGAATAAACCTCACAAGCTTGTGCTATTTGGTGGTTTGCAATGTCACAGGCCCGTCTTGGTTGGAATGATTCACATAATAATCACACTTTGAATAGGAAACACATTCAAAGTTCTGTGCATTTTCACCAGATGTCATTTTCATACATTTTTTTCAGGGTTATTAAATACAGTACCTTCTTTCCTCTGTGGTGAATGTGTCTGTTTGGACACTGGCTTTCAAACACTATTTTCAGAAAGAACCCCAGCAGTGCTTGAAGACTCCTGTTATGGTTTGAATGTGTCCCTCAAAAGTTCATGTGTTGGAAACTTAATCCCCAATACAACAGTGTTAGGAGTGGGGGCCCAATATAAGGTGACTGGATCATGAGAGCAGAACCCTCATGGATTAATCATGGGAGTTGGATGGTTACCTTGAGAGTGGGCTGTTATAATGCAAGTCTGTCTTGTGTGCTCACTTCTGCCTTCCATCCTTCTGCCCCAGAATGACCCTTACCACATGCTAGCACCTGTTCTTTGACTTCCCAGCCTCCAGAACCACGAGACAAATAAACTTCTGTTTATGATCTACCCAGTCTGTGATATTCTTTTATAGCAGCAGAAAATGGACTAAGACAACTCCCCTATCTGGCCAAAAGATACCTCAAATATCACAGAGTTTGCAAAGGGACTTTCCAAGCTAACTGAAGTGTCCACATACTTGAGAGCTATTAAAAATGCAGAAACTATAGTATGTTGGAATAAACCAGACAAGGCACTCAGTTGGAAAGTACTTCTGAGGCATTCTAGCTTTAAGCACTTTGTTTGAAAAGACCTGCATTTAATAAGGTACTACATGGGTTATTCCTCACCTCTGAAGTTAGAGCCAACAATCCAATTGATTTTCAAATAGGTTTCCAGAATTTGGATAATATATTTACCAATTAATATACAGAGGGACAAATGTCATAATGCGTCCTCACATTTTTCCACATCCCCACTTATAGTTGCTGTCTCAAACTCAATGAACTCCTTGCAGCTCCCTGATGGTCCTCGGGGTTAAACGCCACTTGGCCACTGTGCACACTCTTTCCTCCACACAGGGCGCTCTTCTGCTGCCCACCTTGCCTGCCTTCTAACCCAACTCAGAGGAAATCTGCTTTACTGAGATCTTTTCAGACATAGAATAATCCCTCCCCTGCCCCAGACACTGATAAAATCTTCTTCCCTTGCACTGATGACTTAGTTCTATTAGTTGCAGTTACTGTATCAAACTGCAATTAAATTTTTGACTGTGGGCCCCATCACAGGGCCCGGGTTGCAATAAACAGTCAGGTTGTCTATGGTGCCATCAGTGCTTACATGCGTTGATAACCACAGGTGTGGAGTAGAGAATTTAGTTGGTTTCTTCCTGGTCTAAGGGAACTTTTAAATTCCTGACAATGGGAAAACTATACAAGAAACAAAATGAAATTCTCAGAAGCTCTCAGGAGCAGTTCTCTTTGCTGAGAACTCCAAATATCTACAATTTAGTCAAATCTGTACACTTTCCTGAGTAAGTACGTAGATGTCATTTCAGGAGTACTAAATAGAGACTGGAATCCTAATTTCAACTGGTCACTGACGCTTAGTTATTTTTCCCACTGACATTTACACAGGAAAATATGCAAGGTCAAGATCTGTGAAATCTCTCAGGGTCTACAATGCCTTCTTTCTTCTAATAGCACTCTTGTCTATTTATAGTGGTATATCCAGGTGCAAATGACAAAGAAATCTTACTGTTTACATTCAGGCATATGCTGTCCTGCTCTAAAAGAAAACCGGCTGCACGTGAACTTGTCCAGTTGTTTTTTCCGGTAACTGCCTGCATATGTTGTCACAGAAGAATCTGACCACTGTGTTTCATTCTGCCAAGATGCTCCAGCCTTGCGTCTGATCAGATCAAACTCTTGAGAAGTAAGAGGGCTAAACGGCAGAAGAATCTGTGGAGTCAAGTAGAAGAAGTGTGACATAGCTACGGATGGCCTGCTCTGAATGACAACTTCTCAAGCCCTCTGTATAATGAAGAATTAATTTCCTTCCAATAACAGGAAGCAATTGACCGGGCTCACCCAACTTCTTAACTCCAACAGTTTACAGAGTGCAGAAGCTTAACTGTCTTAGATATAGTTGCCAAGCAACCGATCACAAAATTCCACAAATACTACCCGCCCCCAGTGCCCCCAAATTTTACCTAACAAATTTGCAAGTGATTTAACTTTCTGGACTTTGCTCAAAGAGATTGACTGCTTCATAGTCTTGGCAAGAAAAATCAGTGGCAAAATTATCTGGGTATTACAGCTATCACAAATAAAGCAGTGAATGCTAATGGTGATGGTTTAAGAAATGGAAACAAGAGATAAAAGGACAGTGCCACGCAATCATTTCCCCTAAAGACCTAGCCTCCAAGTGTCTGGAAAAGAACATGACCTGCTTGTGATGTCAACAATAGCAGGTGACTCAACAGCTTCTCATGTGTCATAGAGCAGCGGAGTGTTCCGCCTGGCTGCACACTAGAGTCACCTGGCTGCTGTTAAAATAAGCAGGAGCCCAGGCCCCAACCCCATGGATTGTGATTTAATTGGTCTGGAGTAGGGCCCTGGGCATTGGTATTTTTTAAAAGCTTAATCCTGGAGGATTCTAAAGAGCAGCCAGGGTTAAGAATCAAGGTCATGGAAATGCCATGGTGAGCCTGTTTTATGTTGAGAAGTTGTAGCATTTGTTTTCTATTCACATGATTCCCTCCATCCTTCACTAATAATTACTCTAAATATGTTTGCCATTCTCACTGTTCCAGATTAACGAACAATTCAGTGGCAGTTCAATGGCAAATCAACATGAAATGGATCCTTCCATGTCAGTGCTTTCTTTTACCAACTCTTGGAGCAGTAATTCTCAACCCTCTATTCTCATTCGAGTAACCTGTGGAATTCTTTATAAATACCAACGCCATGCCTCTGCCCCAGGTATTGATCAGCAACTCTTCTAGCCCATCATCAGCCTTGAATGAAAGAATTTCCGTAGATGATTTGATCAGCAGCGACTGGGCACGTTGAACAGGCAGAGCCTGTTTGAAGTCTGAGGAAAAGCCTAGGAATCTGCATTTTTCTCATTTGCTTTTATTTATTCACTTTTCATAGATTTAGGGGGTACAAGTGCAGTTTTGTTATGTAGATTTAGTGTGCAGTGGTGCACTTTAGGCTTTTAGTGTAGCCATCACCCGAATAGTGTACATTGTACCCATTAAGTAATTTTCACCCCTCACCCTCCTCCCAGTCTCCTACCCTCTTACCCTTCCAAGTCTCCAGTGGCTATTATTCCATTCTCTATGGCCATGTAGACACATTATTTAGCTCCCACTTATAAGTGAGAACATGGGGTATTTGACATATACTGTTACATATGTCTGATGCAATTGATCTTTTTTTTTTTTTTTTTGAAACAGAGTCTCGCTTTGTTGCCTAGGCTAGAGTGAGTGCCGTGGCGTCAGCCTGGCTCACAGCAACCTCAAACTCCTGGGCTCAAGCGATCCTCCTGCCCCAGCCTCCTAGGTAGCTGGGACTACAGGCACGCCCCACCATGCCTGGCTGATTTTTTTTTTCTATTTTTAGTTGTTTGGCTAATTTCTTTCTATGCTCAGGCTGGTTTCGAACTCCCGACCTCGAGCAATCCGCCCGCCTCGGCCTCCCAGAGAGCTAGGATTACAGGCGTGAGCCACCGCGCCCGGCCTGCAATTGATCTTTGAACACAGAGGACGCTGCCCCAGGATTTGAATTTAAGGTCTTTTGACACACTACGTGGCATGTTTCTCTGAGAATGAAATCATTTGCAAATACTAGTTAGCATGTCCCACTGGAGATTTCTTCCTTAAAATGTTGAAATTTGGAACATACACACCTTTGTCCCAGAAAAAGAATTAAGCATATGTTTGCTGACTCAGCTGCTTTTTCTCATGGAGTTGAAGACTTTCTGGAGAAATCCAGGTAAGATTAAAAGTTGCTGGAGATAAAGGGTGGAGGAAAGGAAAGAACATGGGGCTGACCAGGTCTTTTCAACCCACTTAGTAGCAGGTAACAGCTGCTTATATATATTTAACCTTTCTCCACTCTATTAAAAACGGTGAGTTTAACTTTGCTAGAAATATATAACGTTTTGAGACAGGAAAATAAATAGAACAAATTGTGCAAAATTATTTGTTGAAAACATCTCTACATTTTTTTCTCAAATTATGTGGTAGTCTATAAACAAATATGAAATAAAATAAGGTCTTTCAAAAATGCACTATGGTATAAGTGTACTTCGTTATCACTTTCTTGTCCTCTATTTTTATTCTCCTACAACCAATTAGGATATCATTTTAACAATTATAATCTCAAGAACCAAAAGTAGTGAAACTTAATTTAAGTGAAAATGGCCACTATTGGGTTTAGATGGAATTACGGCTTAGTGTATCAATCTACTAGATGTTGAACAAGTCTGTTAAAGATAGGTCGGACTTCAAATTAGAGAATAATTGGAACAGACTAATTGAATTTATTATCATAAGTGTTTAATCTGTAAGAATTCTAGAGGCCCTTGTACTCCTTTGTCCTCACGTTTTATCAGATACTTCTTTTCTCATGGACACTTGATAGTCGGTGCTGGCTTATATGGTCTGACTTCCATGTCGGAAAGTCTGCACTAAAAATTTCCTTTTGTAACTGAATTATGGCAAGCTGTGTTGTTCAGTCCCCAGTATATTAAATGTAACAACAAGAAAAAGAATCAAAAGCACCGTGACAAGGAACTCTGGATTGTGGTCCGATTTAAGTGGCAATGGGAGGTGACTGAGTAACCTCATACCAAATAAAACCAGCAGGGGGCGTGCATGTCACCTGATGCATGGGAGCCTTTCTCTAAACACAAGCTGATTATTCTAATGAGGTGTTAGTAGGTATTAGTTAAAAGGGTTTCGTGGTTATGTAAGTTTGGAACAAGCTGGGATAAACATGATTTTTTTTTTTTTTTGCTGTAAGAATTCTGAGTCCTTAATATTTCCATTTGCATTGTACATCTTTCAAAAGGGCCTAGATTGTGCATCATGGCCTAAGCTTGCTTGACCACAAAACTCAGTTTGTTGGAAGCAACTCTGAAGATTGCTATTCAGTGGAACAGTCCAGGAACTGAAAAGGCTAGAGGTCTCTATAGCTGAAACAATGGCTGCTCTGCAGTTGTTGCAATTTACTAGATCTTAACTAGATCTCTAGCCTAAAGTACAGACAGCCTGGCAAGAGGATGGATCAAGCAGGACTTTGTTTAAAAATGGAGAAGTAACATCAAACAATAAAGTACAGGTTTCTACTTTACATACGTACACACCTATGTAACCATGACCCATATCCAGGATTCTCTTTCCAATCAAAACAGCACACACACACAAAAAAAATGTACACCCCACAACATCTATTAATAGTAACCACTATTTCAGTTTCTATCACTGTAGACGAGAAATATCAGGTTATCTTCTGTGAAGGCAGAAACGTACTGATGCCATCACAAGATGAAACCGTGGAAGAAACCAGGTACAGACCAGAGAAGGCAGAATTCCCTTGAGAAAAAGATCCCATGTGAAGCTAAAGCTTCCCTCTCAGCCTGAATCTGTCTCCTCCCCATAAAGCACCAAGCTCTGCTATCTGGATGAGTGTGGCTAACATCTGAATGAACATACATAATGTGTGAGAGTTAATAACTGAGTGTGCCTATTATAATAACATTAATTCTTAGTCCTTGATCTTGGAATAAATTTTAACCTACTGTGCTTGCAACCAACTGTGTGATTTGGAAATTTTTAGTAACATATCAAAACCTGTGTGGTAGATGGTCTAAAGGACACAGGAAGCAAGGAACCGGTTGCAATAGGACATAGTGGAAATAAAAAGAAAGGTAAACTGCAAAGGCACAGGAAAAGGACATTGATAAAATTAGTGAGCAAAAGCCCAAAAGGAAGGATCGTTTTTCTTTGCTTTCCTGAAATTTATTTTTGGCTATGTTTACTATTTGAAAACTGAAACTGATTACAAACAGTGTGTACATTGTGATCCCATAAAAAGCTGTGTGTGTGTGTGTGTGTGTTTGTGTGTATAATAAAAGAAAAGGCCTAGAAAGCTATATATAAAATGTTAATACTTACAGCTGAGTGGGAAGACACACATGATTTTTTTATATCCTACATTCTTTTCTTTATTTTCTAGACTTTTTATAATGAATATATATAACATAATCAGAGCCAAAATGTTAATTTACAAAAACTAGAACAAATTGAATGCATCCACATATAATCAATCACTCAGATCTTACAAGAATTCTCTTTTGGGTTTGCATTTATTTTTCTACTTCTTTCTAGAGTTTAGGCCTTAAGAAAAAAAATGACTCTAAGGCAAGGAGATGGGAACCAATTCAATCAAATATGATACTTAAACTTTCTCTTCCTTTAGTTTTGGGTCCAGTAATCAGAGGTAGGAGAAAATAAAGCATATAGCCATGTGTGTGTGGTAGATAGGGAAGAGAAGATAGGAAAATAGGATGGAACGGATATGAGAATCTACTGAGGAAAGGACCAAAGTAGATAAGTGAGAAAACTTGAGTGAATGTTTGTTCTTTTTCAAGGAAATCTTGTCTATTCATACATACAATGAAGTAGTCCACAAATTGTGTTCCACACCCTCAAACAAACAAAAAGGCTCATAATAACTGAAACTAAAAAATGATTCCTAATCATGATCAGGGCTCCATGGATTTCCCAGTGGTACCTCCTGGGACAAACAGCAGGTAGTAATAGCTGCTTCCTTCAGTTCAGGAGTGAGTGGGAGAAGTTGTCTCCCAAGTGGAGCCGGCCCATGTTTCCTGCGCTATAAAAGTAAGCCTCTTCTGTACAGTTCTGCTTGGACGACAATCTCAGTCTCACACACAACACATGACTACGATAATTGAAAGTCATTTCAGGCTGGGCGCGGTGGCTCATGTCTATAATCCTAGCACTCTGGGAGGCCAAGGCGGGAGGATTGCTTGAGCTCAGGAATTCAAGACCTGTCTCTACTATAAATAGAAAGAAATTAGCCAAACAACTAAAAATAGAAAAAAAAAATCAGCCAGGCATGGTGGGGCGTGCCTGTAGTCCCAGCTACCTAGGAGGCTGGGGCAGGAGGATCGCTTGAGCCCAGGAGTTTGAGGTTGCTGTGAGCTAGGCTGATGCCACGGCACTCTAGCCCAGGAAACGGTGAGACTCTGTCTCAAAAAAAAAAATTAATTTCAAAGGATATTTAAGAGGTATTTCGAAGTATTCTTTCTTGCTTAAGTAACCTGAGTCTCATGTAACTAACAATAATAATACTTGATTAATATAGAAGCAAATACATGTTCCAGGTACTTTTCCAAACCTTTTATATACATTAACTCATTTAATTCTCATAACAACCCTATGAGGAAGGTACCATTATTACACCATTTTACAGAGGAGGAAACTGATCCACAGGGAGTTTGCCCAATGCCACATGGCTAGGAGGTGGTAGAAATGGAGTTGAAACTCAGGCAAAGTGACCGTGGAGTATTCCGAATACTACATCTTTAACATGCTTCACTCTCCTTATCAGTCACCCTCTGCCTGTCTCTGCCTAATGCCCTCCTTGGTCTGGTCTCACACTTGCTGACTACTCCCCTTCTCTTGAGTCCAGTCCAAAAGCATCCCCAACAACCTGTACAGGATTGACTTTCATATTCAAAGAAGTTTCTAATCATGACCTAATAAACAGGCCCTGAAGAGAAATACCAAAGAATGAATGACAGCTTTTATTTATTTTTTTTTAAATGCAAACTGCCTTGTGTTCCCAAGCTAAGGTCTGTAGCCTTGTTTATAGGAAAGAGGCACACAGCCTCCTGTTACATGCAGCATTTAAATACCTTGAAGATTCTGAAACCAAGTTTAAGGACCATGCATCTAATAATATCAATTAAATATTAACATGCAAAACCCTCAGGAGCCCAGAAATTATCCAAGCTAAGAGGAGAGATTCTAGGAAGCTATCACCCATGGCATATTTCCTAACCGGGACCCCCCCCAAAAAAATCCCTTAAAGAGAAATTAATCTTAGTGAATTATAGCTTCTTAATGCTTGAAGGCAAGTAACAGATTGATGAACTCACAGCTTTAAACAAGCTGAATTCTACCTGGAAGGTGATGGTGGGGTAGGGGAAAGGCATAAAATTACAATGCTAAAATGATCAGTTAATGGGTACATGTTGGTGAACAGAGATCAGAGGATAAATCCTCTTGGGGTTTAACAGACAGAACCTACCTTTCCTCCCTATTTGCCAAGGGGAGTTTATTTGCCTATGTTGTTGGCTTAATCAAATACACATCCAAGTTCAACTTCCCTTTTCTCTGTTCTCACTGCGTGCTGATTTGGGGTCCACAAGTTTAGGGATGCACAGGAAGGAATGTGGCAAGACCTGGGAACAGACTACCCTAGAACGATCAAAGTGAATACTTCACCCCACCTCCTTTGAACATTTAATCTGCATGGTAGCAGATTTATAATGTGCACTAGTATTTATATACCTGTTTCTGCATTTCCAGAGCTGCGCTGAGAGATGCTTTGAGCTAAGAGATGCACAGCAGTGTTTTGTCCCTGCAGAAATGTGGGTATCCTAACAAACGCCTTTTAGGATACTTGGAGAATTGTACTAATTCAATATATCCTTGCCTTTTGATTTGCCATTCTTTGAAGAGACTTTTCGATGTGTGACTTTGCCTCTTTGTCTCCGTGGTTACTTGGTAGCTTCGCTCAGAATTTGTTCACTCATCCATTCATTCAATAAATATTTATTGCACATCTACTTTGGGCCACTGAACAGCACCATTTATTATTTCCTACCACATTGATCTACTTTCTTCAAATATGTTTGAGTGATACACACTATACTATATCTATGACATTTCTTCCTGCCACCCTGCTTAGGATTAGTTCACTAATCAAAAGATGTTTAAGTAAAGAAACTAGTAAAAAGGTAGAATAAACAGCATAAAATTTTAACTGGGTAGATATTTTTGGATATTAGAAAGTAGGTCAACCATGTATAGTGAAGTATCTTCTGTTGTTTTGAGATACAGATACCTAGTACAATTTTTTGAGCAAATTATTTAGGCTAAATTATTTTAAGCTAAAAATTTGTATTGCAAATACCATATGATACGGTTTGATGGTAGAGAAGCTGAATACACATTATAAAAAATTGAATGGAACTGGAGTGAGTTTTGTAAAGGCAGAACACTTTCCATACTCTGCCCCTTCCCCACTCTCTGGTGAGTATCAGATATTATCTCCCCAAGACAAAACAGCCTGCAGTGGCCAGACATTTCATAATGGCTTTTCTGTTGCTCATGACTAATTGCTTTAGAAGGCCTCTATAATTCCTGAATCCCTCTTATGGGAACCCAACCCTCAGACTTGTGAAATTTAGCTCTTTGGGAAATTCAAAGCCAAATATTGAGCTCAAGGCCAAAGTACAGTATAAATTGTGGAATATCAAAGCAAGCAAGGTACCAAAAAAATCCATTAAAGAGAAATTAATCTTAGTGAATTATAATTTTAAAATCTTCTCTAGAAGTTTCCTTCTCTGTGTCAGGCTCAAATAGGTTGACCACTGTATTAATGTACTAGGGCTGCCATAACAAGGTGCCACAGACTAGATGGCGTAAAATGACAGTAATTTATTCTCTCACAGTTCTGGAGGCTGAAAGTCTGAGATCCAGGTGTTGGCAGGGCCATGTTCTCTCTGAAACCTGTGGGGGATGCTTCCTTGCCTCTTCCTAGCTTCGGTGGTTTGCTGGCAACCTGTGGCATCTCTGTCTTGCAGCTGCCTCACTCCAGTGTCTGCCTGCTTCATCACATGACATCGTCCCTGTGTGTCTCTCTCACATGTTGTCTTCCTACAAGGACACCAGCCATTTTGGATTAGGGGCCGCCCTACTCCAGTAGGACCTCATCTTAACTAATTACATCTCAAACAACCCCATTCCCAAATGTCACATTCTGAGGTACTGCGCGTTAAAACTTCAACATATCTTTTCTGGGGGTGGACCCAATTCAAACTATAGCAGGGATACTATGTAACAGGCAGTAAAATGTTCTGAGATTCATTGAGTAAAACGGTCTCTGTAGCCACTATTATTCCAAGGGCCCCAACTGACTAGCCCTAGTGGGAAGAAAGTTTCTGGAACTAGCAACACCACTAGTTTTTTAAAAAAGGGAGTGTGATTTTATAGATTCTTGATCTGAGACAAAGATGTAGTGTTATGTAGCAGATCTCTAGGAAGCAATGATATTTAATATTTCTAGAATTAAATAGGCTGATAACTTTATAAAAGAAGAACAGGAATAATTTAGAAGTTTATATGTAAATCATATATCTGATAAGGGGTTCATATATGGAGTATATAAAGAACTTCTACAACTCTATAACAAAAAAACCAAATAACTTGATTAATAAATGAGCATAAAAAGATGCTAGACATCATGAATCATTAGGGAAAGGCAAATCAAAGTCACAGTGAGATTTTACCTCACACACTTTAGGATAGCCACTATCAAAACAGAAAGTAACCATAACAGAAGGTGTTGGTGAGGATGTGGAGAAGCTGGAACCCTAGTGCCCTATTGGCAGGAATGTAAAATGGCGCAGCTATTATGGCAAATAGTATGGAGGTTCCTTAAAACATTAAAAATAGAACTACCATATGATCCAGCAATCCCATTTCTGGGTACAGAACCATAAGAATCGAAAGTAGGATTTTGAGGAGGTATTCACACAGCCAGCATTATCCATGACAGCCACGATGTTGAAGTAACCTAAATGTTTATTGACAAAGGAATGGATAAAGAAGATGTGGTGTGCACATACAGTGAAATATGACTGAGCCTTAAAAACGAAGAAATTCTTATCACATGTTGCAACCTGGATGAACCTTGAGGATATTATGCTAAATGAAATAAGTCAGTCACAAAAGATAAATACTGCATGATTCCACTTAATGGGGTATCTAAAATAGTCAAACTCATAGAAACAGAGAGTAGAATGGTGGTCGCCAGGGGCTGGGCGGAAGGGTGGTGGGGAGTTGGTTCAGCAGGTGTGGCGCTTCAGTCATGGAAGGTAGGGGTGGTTCTGGGGATCTGGGGCACAACAATGTGCGTGTGGTTGACATTACTGTATACTGGGAAGTTGTCTGAGATGCTGAATTTTATGTTATGTATGTTTTTGCCATGATAAAAAAAGATGATGGTCAAGAGACAACACATTTTTCTTAACAAATTGTTTCTGATCCATGTAATAGAACACTGAGTAAATAGTAGCTAAGAGAGGTTGGTTTTAGTCTAAGTCACACTGGCTGCTTAAGCAAATCGCTTCACTCCTCTGAAACTCAATGATCTGCCTACCAATTTATTCTGTGGTGGAAGTGTACATCACTGCCTCCCACCCACAGGCCCCAAGAAAAAGCACCTTACAGACTGTTCTTGCTGAACAAGCAGAAACCACATTTGTACTTTATCTTCTCACCTCCTGAGACAAGGATTGAGGTGGGCATCTGATTCTAGGCAAGCTGTCCACAGGTTCCTCTCAGGGACCCCTCTTGCCTCCACATGATGAACAGACTGATCAGATTTCTATCATGAAACCAAGAAATTGTGAAGTGTTACAGTGGGAACTTAAGGGGTAAGGTAATGAGGTAAATATGGAAAATAGTATTGCTTAAATCTAATGTAGATAATGCATCCCATTTAGGAACAGGAAACTTAATTTCATAATATCCCTGATGTTCAATTTCTTTTTCTGTAAAACAAGGGTGATAATAACTGTTTTTTGAGGGGTTGTTGACATAATTAGCAACCGTGTGTGTATGAAGCTGGAGATCATGATTCAACCTAAGGTGACACTACCAGAAAAGAAAGGACAGCTAACTACGCAGGCATCATTTGCAGAACTTGATTTATATTTTGAAAAGTGGGCTTGTGTGGGGAAAGCTTTCTGCAGAGATCGTGTGCTTAGGGGCTGGGGGAGAGACAGGAGAGCTGAGGACACTGGGAGACAGAAGTAGTTGGTCCGTGCCCCAGCACAAGGGCTGGTCTCTATGGGGAGAGAGGCAAGGATACTGTACTCTGGAAGCAGCACTGTTTTGGCAACTTAAGAGTTTCACAGCTGGGGAGCATCTATGCAGGCTAGCGGTCTCCTTCAGAACAGCAGCAGTGGAAACAGTGGTAGCCCAACAGAAGCCTGGCAGGGAGGCTGCACCCAAGAGTGTGAACTCATTTGTGAATCAGTGAAAAACCCCCGAGACTTCCAAAAACACTTGCAGAGCGGCCTTTTCGGGGGACTGAGAATCCTGTGTGATGTGATGGAATTCTGAGTCAGCAATACTTGGGTGTAAATACTAACATGATTTTATTCTTAAGAGAATGTTGATCCTTGAAATCATTGGCCTCCATGTACAACAAGATTTGGTATTTAAGTGTGAGCCCTATAAATGGCTCTCTTGTCATCCTAAGATACTTCTCTGTAGAATTCTGTCCACACCTTGTGACAATGTGGATGAACCTGGAGGACATTATGTTAAGTGACATAAGACAGAGACACAGAAAGACAAATACCTCATGATCCCACTCATGTGGAATCTAAAAAATGCAGGCCTCATAGAAGTAGAGAGTAGAACAGTGGTTACCAGAGACTGGGGAGCGGAGAGCCGGAGGGGAGGCTGGGGAGAGGCCGGTCAAAGTTACAAGTACAAAGTAACATTGTAACAGGTATAAAGTTACAATTAAATATTATAGTAAGAATGAGTGCTGGTGTTCTAGTGCACAGTAGAGTGACTACCATTAACAGGAAGGTATCATGCATTACAAAATTGTTAGAAGAGAGGTTTTTGAACATTCTCACTGTAAAGAAATGATAAATGCAGGAGGTGATAGGTATGCTAACTACTCTGATTTGATCATTATGCAACATATGCATGTATTGAAACATCAATCTGTACCTCCATAAACATGTACAGTTACAATGTGTCAATTAAAATTAATTTTAAAAATTAAAATTCTACCCACTTCTCAAGATTGGCCAGGTAGAAGTTATAGAGCTTTGAGGATGAGGTCACATGATTTCCTTTGTGTTAGTTAAAAGCAATACCAATTTGGATTAAGCAGTTGCCCTTGCTAATAGATTACTGCCTTACGTGTGCCCTCATTCCATCAAGAAGCTGAGGAGGCTGAGCAAAAGTAATTGTCCCAAGGTCACCTTTATACATCAAATTTTTAGGTAAATATTAACACTTTGACTTACATCCTCTACATTTTACAGTTCAGTGTTAAATTTTTTCTGGGGAAAAAAGCATTCAATATGTTATTAATGTAACTGCTTTTGTGCCACTTTAATATTTTTGTTACCAAACATACCATGAATGACAAACAAAACAAAACAATAACAAAAAAAACCAACAACCCTATATAATAAGCTTCATGGGACAGGAATTACGACTAAGTATTCATTTCAAGTGAGATTAGAAAAGTTCATAAATTTAGTGACCAAAATACGATAGTGGAAATAAAAACAAAAAGGTGGAAGAGTCTTTTTTTCTTCTCTTTTTTTTAAGAGACAGGGTTTTGCTCTGTCATCCAGGCTGGATTGTAGTACTCCAATCATAACTCACTGCAGCCTCAAATTCCTGGGCTTAAGCAAGCCTCCTGCCTCAGCCTCCCGAGTAGCTGGAACTACAAGTGTGCTCAAGCACACCTGGCTAATTTTTAGTAGAGACAGGGTGTTGCTAAGTTGCCCAGACTGGTCTCAAACTCCTGGCCTCAAGTGATCCTCCCACCTCAGACTCCCCAAATGCTGGGATTTCAGGCATGAGCCACCATGCCCAGACTTTTTTTTTGAGATGAGGTCTTGCTATGTTCCTCAGGCTGGAATGCAATGGTTATTCACAGGCATGATCATAGTGCACTACAGCCTTGAACTCCTGGGCTCAAGAGATCCTCCCACCTCAGCCTCCCAAGTAGCTGGGACTACAGGTGTGCACTTCCACGCCTGGCTTAAAAAGTCTGATTGTTCTTTTGCAAGGACAATTTAATTTTGTTCACCGCTGTCTTAGTCTCACCTGAGTAACAACAGTAACATTCAGTGAGTGTTGGTGCCAGCCACCACTTTGACAGTCTACCTGAATTACAGCGGCACCCTTAGATAAGCCCATTTGGTTATTAGAATCCAACTATGTGAAGAGTTTCATAAAGTGTGACTTAGGAAGCATTTATGAAGCCACATATGGACTTCTTGGCTTTAGGAGCATCAAAACTCCACCATCTGCACAAGTGTACAGATCACAGGAGTTACGTCTCTCTTCAGAGTCCTTGTAATTTATGAGTCTTTAACAGTAGCATCATGACTTCTATGATGGAACAGGATGCAATGTTTGAATGGTCTTCATTGATTTTTCCTGTTTTTTTAGTGCATTAAAAGTTAAACTACATAGAGTATATATGACATATGTTGTTCATTAGCTGTTGTCTTAAGTGTATACTGACTACTAGCTATAAAAGCTTAGGGAAAGCAGGTAAATAGCCATATTATAGAGTGATTATGAAGACAAAATGCCTTTTAGGTTGTATTGGGATAGCTAACTATTGAAGTATTTGTAGTCATTTTAATGAGACTATTTTTTTCAGCAAAATTCTGTCAATTTTGGAGCTCAGTTTGAAACACAGTATATTTTTCCTATCTACAGAAATTAATGGCAATTATGTTGATAACAAGGCAAAGCCAACCTATGAGATTTTTTTTTTCAGAAAAGAACTGCCTTTTTAAGATAAAGGGAGACTGTAACTCATTTAATCCTCAAAACTCTAAGAGGCAATACATCGCCAAATACTTATTTAGCACTTATTATGCCCAGATATTGTATACATGTTAACTAAAATAGTACTTTCAACAACTCTGAGTAGACACTATTGTGATTGCATTTAATAGTGAAGAAACTGAGGCACAGGGAGTAGTTTGTTCGATCTGAAATTAAATGATACTGATCTGTTTTGCAGAACAAAGAACTGTCCTAAATTTCTATGTGTAATGTTTACAACAATATCTATCAACTATGGAGTACTAATAAGCACTTTATAATTTCTCATTTAATTCTTCCAGCCATCCTGTAGTTATTACCTTAATTTTACAGATAAGACATCTGGTGCATACAGAGAAATAACTTGCCAAAAATCACACAGCTAGTTAGTGACAGAGCTGTGATTTGAGCCCACATGTGTCTAAGTCAAAACCTACGCTTTTGACCAGGTCAGGAGCCCAGCACAGTAGAATCATAGGTGGAGGAAGGGGATGGGATTTTTGATTTGGAAGAAAACAAGACTATAAATATTTCATTATATTATATTGCCTCTAGTATAGCCAATAACAGAAATAGAAGTGAAAAATATCTTAGAAATTGTTCTCTTTAAAATGGCCAATGGTACAATGACAACATAAGAAGGGAATTTTCTAGTAATTTTTATGACAATATTTAAAATATTTAAAAGTAGTTCAAACTGAGAAGAAGAAATGCACAGCTAAATTCAGAGCTAACAAAATCCCCCCTTTTGCTACCTTCTTTATAATGCAATGTGTGTGCCCCTCCGTTACTTATACTGTACCACAAATGACAGGAGGTTTATGATTCACTGCAATCATAGCTCACTAAGGGAAATTATGAAATTCTTCCTCTGAAGTTTCTAAAAGCCAGTTTTTCATTTGACAGAGTGGTTTAATGGTGGTGGTCCTCTTGAAAATTAGGAAAAGCAACTGGATAAGCTTTCAAAGTTTCTCCTAACCCTCATATGTGTTATAGGAATGCCAAAACAGTACCAAAACTCTTTCAAAAAAATGTAAAGAAATGTTTGTTAAAATAATATTCAAGAAATTTGATTCCAGATAGGAACCTGTAGGGTAATAATGCAAGCTGACAAACTGTGTAAAATATTCTAAAGGCTTCAGAATAGAATATATTTAAAGCATCTGTGAAGATATTTTGTGCAGTGGAGAAATTTTATGGTTAAAAATCATTATATTCAAAGTTATAACTACCATCAAATAGTATAAAATATATTCAAGTAATTAAATAGAAAAGGTGCTTTATAGGCAATCATAAAATATCACAAGGGCGAGATGGTAGTAATAAGACCATTGGAGAAAATTGAAATTATATGTAACGTTTGTACAGCTTTGTGTATTCATTACTTTAACATACTAATGATAGTAAGCAGGCTTGAGTATCTGCTGTATACCATCACGATGGCTAAATTATTTTCCTAAGTTATCTCATTTAATGCTCACTAACCATAGAAAGTTACATGCCAGTTCCATTTTACCAGGGAAGAAACTGACACTTAGATTACTTGTCCAAGTTTACCTAGCTGGTAAGTGATTGATCTGGCTTTGAAGTTTAATCCCACACAGTCCAACTACAGAACTCGAGCTCGTGATCACTGTGCCAAGCTTCCTCCACAGGACAAAACTTGTTCTGTACCATCAAGAAAAGAGTAGATTTTTTTTTTTTTTTTTTGAGACAGAGTCTCACTTTGTTGCCCAGGCTAGAGTGAGTGCCATGGCGTCAGCCTAGCTCACAGCAACCTCAAACTCCTGGGCTCAAGCAATCCTACTGCCTCAGCCTCCCGAGTAGCTGAGACTACAGGCATGTGCCAACCATGCCCGGTTAATTTTTTGTATATATATTAGTTGGCCAATTAATTTCTTTCTATTTATAGTAGAGACGGGGTCTCGCTCTTGCTCAGGCTGGTTTCAAACTCCTGACCTTGAGCAATCCACCCGCCTCAGCCTCCCAGAGTGCTAGGATTACAGGCGTGAGCCACCACGCCCGGCCTAAAAAAGTAGGTTTTTAAAATGCTAATATGAAGTTAAATGGCCAAGGAAGAAGAGCAGCAAAAGTCCTTTGATAAACTTCAAACTGAATAACCCTTGAATCATTCTGACCTCACTTGGGGCTTTTAGGTGTTTAAACTCACGGGGATTGGTGGACCCAGGTTATCTACTGCTGATTTTCCCAGTTTCCCTTTGGCTCTCCTATCTATCACCAGGGGGTTTGTAAATCCAGACAAATAGACTTTAAAACTGTGTTCACATCATTAATTCAGCTGTTTCATTACTCATACACATGGCCATTTCAGAAATTCCTAGGATAGTCTGGTACACTAAATGTCAACCATGATTTTCAGCTCTTAGAAACCCACTATGGACTGTTCTGGCCTCAAGAAAGGCTTCAAAAATGTGGTCACAATTGTTTACATTTTTCTCTGAAAACTCAGTGAATATAGAATCAAAGTCAGCATTTTAAGGTGCATGATCTTTTCTGTCTTCCTCTGCTCCTGACTGTTAAGAAGAAACTATCCTAGAGGCCAACATGCCAGGGTATAAGAATAGAAAGAAATGGAAATCAGTAACACACAACAGGAACCTTACAAATACTGCCTGACTGCCCAACCTTTGCCACCCATATCTCACTTCCTTCAAGTTTTCAAGCACGGTTCACAAATAAGGAAGCCAAGGGTACCATAAAAGAATTACTGAAAATATAAGCATGCAAGTGATTTCTTAATATTAAAATGCTTTATGAAACAACACATAAATTATGATATTGGATAAATTTTATTGGTCTCTGCTTTTAAAAGTTTTCAGTAAGAAGTCTGCTGCTAGACCTGGGGACAGGGCTCCAAGGAGAACCTTTCTTTCCATAAGTGGAATCTGTTCCCGGACCATGGGATGGGTCCTGAAATGTTCTAACACACTTTCCTGAATGAGATTCCACATCCAAACTTTCTGTTGCTTCTGTCGTTTGGCAGTTAGCTCCCCACTGGCAAGCATTAGGTCCTGGAATTCTTTCATTTTATCCCACATTTCAGAGATCCCCTCTCCACTTCTGGCAGAAATACGAATTACCTATTGAAAAAGGAAGAACCAGCTTGTTTTACTTAAAATGATAGAAAACATTTTCATGGGGACTCGTATTTGCCAAGTAATTCTTATAGTCTATGGAAACAAGGCAAGAGACAAGAATGAGATTTTACTGCTGTGTCAAAGTGAGTATCCTTACATATACTCTGAGGTAATGTACCTAGGATTACTAAATGGACAGCAGAAATAAGACACTGATTCGAGGTCAAATTTTTTAGCACAGAAACTTATTTTAACTTGGAATCACTCAGACGGTCAGGGACAATGTGGAGGGCTTGTCAGAGTCACAGGATAAGAAGCGCAATGTTAGGCACATTTTCCCGAGGCCTGAGGGCCAGAAAAGGAAGCTAAGTTGAGAAAATAGCCCAATTCCCTCTGTCAAAGTTGCCTAATTCAGCGAGTAGCAGAGCTGAGCATCCAGATCATAAATAGTAATATATAGGTGGCTCCAAACAAATCACAAAGTGATTGGGGAAATCTAAGAGATGACTAAGCTAAGTCATCACTATTCTCAGTATAATGACTACAGCTTATTCTTTAATAACATAGTGTCCCCCTGTAGATAAAGCTGCCAACATCAATATTATTGCAGCAATTACAGGATTTTTTATTTCTTTTTTTTCTTATTGAAAACAGCACCTAACAAACATAATGGGAATGGATTTATCACATCACAAGCCTTTCCCCTCTTACTCAAATTCCAATATAGATTAATCAAGTCATCAACTACTCCATAATCTTAAGGATGGTCCCTATCAGAATGGATTTGCTATCACTTGCAAATGGCTCCAATCAAGCATTAAACAATCTAATCCATCACCTCATATCTAGTTTTTGACATCTAGTGGTTAAAGGATTACATTTCAAATCATGACTATACACTCTAGTTTTGTCATAATTTTTAAAACTGTAATCTTCACATACAAGCAAAGATTGATTATATGTCTAGTTTGGGACTTACATCCTCTCTTCTAATGTACACAGTCCACTCAGGATGAAAAATATAAAATGGAACTCAAGCTAACCTTTGGTTTCCAGACTTCCGAACGCTTGCGGAGTAGTTTCAGTGCACTCACATACTCTGCTTGAATCCTTCGAGCTGGCACCTTCAAGTCTCCATCAGATTTAGTTACAGCTACCAGATCTGCCATCTCAATTATACCCCTTTTGATACCCTAAAGAGAAAAAGAAATTGATTTATCAGAAACATTTAATGTAATCATAATCAACATTATAATGGGACAACCAGTCAATGCTAAGACTTTGAAAGTCATATACTTCATTAACTAATATAACTTTTTTTTGCATCTTCCTAAGCTCTGGTTGCCAGAAATCATAGTTATTTGACAGAAATTACTCAAAGGGGCTGGCTCTTGGGACTATGGAAGTCATTTGTTATGTCTCTTCCAAATTTAGAGACCATCATGGTGAAATACAATCAGAATTAGAGTAAATATATTATCAACACATGACATGATTGAGTGGCAGGAGACAGTTCACATTGTGTCATGATAGATTCTGCTTCCCACAAGCTAGCGCTGCAGGATGCAAAACCATCATTAATTAGCATGCTTAAAAAGAAACAGACATATCATTAACATCTGTATTTCTAGAAACAGAGTCTTTGAAATTTTTCTTAAATGTACATAGCAGTTTTTTTCAATTTGCATTTGAGGAAAAATAAACTGACAGCTAAAAATGTCTCAATCTCTTAAATTATGTTGCATAAAACTTCTAGAAATAATGGAGTAAATCAAAGGCCAAATCTTATTTGGGAAATATAGACTTTTCCACCTAAGATTAAAATTTCTTTTCAAATATTTTTAAACATAACTTTCAATTATTAAATTCTAATAGTTAATGTTTCTAAATCACAGCAGCCATAGTCTACTATCACTATTTTTCGAATTCTAAAATTGAAAGAGAAGGCTATATAATAATTTCTCTGGTCTTTATTCAGGTTCCTGGGAGATAACCTCCAAGTTCCCAGAATTTCTGGAGTGGCAGGAGTATCTTTGGTATTCATGGTGGGGCCATACCTGATATTACGCAGCGAGATCACTCAGGATGGGTGACTCTCCGTTCCAGGAAGACCTACCATGTGCTGGGGCTTTGTGCCATGTGACATTAGCCCAACTTCCATGTAGGAGACAAGGGCTAGAGATCCAGTTCAAATATGTGGCCCATGATTCAATCAATCATGCCTCCATTAAGGAAACCCCAATGAAAACTCAGCACACTACAGCTCAGGGGAGCTCCTGGTTGGTGACACACATCAACATGCCAGGAGAGAAATGTATCCTGAGGACACAGAAGCTTCGTGTTTGGGACTCTCTCAGATCTCTTCATTTGGCTGGTCCTGATTTGTACCCTTTATAACACAACTATAATTTCAATATAGTGCTTTCTTGAGTTCTGTGAATCATTCTAGTGAATTATTAAACCTAAGGGGTAGTTGGAACCCCTAAGTTTGTAGCCAGTTGGTCAGAGGTGCGGGTGGCCTGGGAACCATGGAGCTTGCAGTTGGTGTCTGAGTGAGGGGAGGCTTGTGGAGGACACTGCCCGTACCCTGTGACATCTGCACTAATGCCAGGTAGATAGTGTCAGAATGCATTACAGGGGGAGGGTAAGAATCCCATTGTACAACATATAAACCGTGATGGCAGCATCCCAGTTAAAAACAAAGTGATACGCTATGAAGAGTTTTCGAACCAGGTGTACTAAAACACCCATTGAACTGTGGTTGCCTCTGGCTGGAGCTACCCCTGCATTCCAGTCACTCCCGTGTTACAGGTAGAAAGGTTTAATATATATGATTACCTCGAGGTCACACATTCTACTCCTATAAGCTGAAAAAAATATAGAGAATCTGCCTTTGACTCAGGTATTTTAGCCAAAGTGAATGATGTTTCTTTCTCTACACCATTATCAAGTTAAGTTACAAAACATACACTGGAAATTTGTACTTTCAGAGATATATATTCTTTGTACTTGGGAGAAAAAAGAAAAATAATTACCTGCAATTCATCTCCTCCTGCTGGTGGCAATAGTAAAACAAACATGTCAACCATGTCAGCAACTGCAAACTCCGACTGACCCACACCTGAAATTTTAAATGACAACTGTATCTCCAAATATTCAGTTATCAGTCTTCCTCAACCACACTGACCATCACTTCCATTCCACTTCACTTACTCATACTCATGGTCAAGCCCTGAAACACAGAACCTCTGAAGAAAGCATTAAAAATCACTATCTCACCCTCTGAGCAAACAGTTATCCTTCCAGCTCTCTCTCCCTGGCTCCCATTAAACCTATGCTTGGATTGGAGAAGCCAGAACCTCCATTCTCTCCTCACTCTCACAGCTTTCTCTGCTTCCCTTTCACCAGTGAGCAGCAGGAACACTATGACTATAATCTTAAAGTTGTGCCTGCCAGTATGTTCATCTGTGGATTGGACTGTGTTCCTGTCTTCCAGAAAGCTTCCTATGTTAAAGTCCTAACCAGCAGAGTGAATTTATTTGGAGATAGGGCCTTTAAAGATGTAATTAAGTTAACCCTTTGCACTGGGATGTCGAGTATGACTCGACACGGTTAGCATCGGTAGCAGCTCATATGTCGAGCCACACTCAACATGTAGTTTCACCTTGGGGGGAAGGGGGATTTTTGTCTATTTTTCCAGTATCTTTTCTTGTTTTCATTAGCATGAAAGGACAAGTAAAATGTAAATGCAGAGATGGTACACTAACTCCCAGGGGTAGATTATTATCCACTAACTTAGAGCAACGTTTAGATGGAAAGCTTCATATAATCACACCTCACCCTAACAAAAAACACAAAGATTGTGTTGTTTATTCTAACAGAAAAATCAAAGGAGGAAGAAGAGAGATGATTTATATTTGCGAAACATGTGAACGTAAACCAGGTCTTCATGTTGGTGAATGTTTCAAAAGATATCACACCATGAAAAATTATAGAGATTAAAATTACTCTTTGAATGTATCAATAATTGGAACTATTAAAAAAGCCAAATAAATAAGTTTGTATGAAAAGAAACTCCAGTTTTTTATTCTACTGCCGTGCTTTGTGAAATCTGGGGTATTTAAAAAATTAAATCCTGAGTAGAATAAAGGAATTGAGAAAAAAGCAAGCGAGCGCAAAGGGTTAAATGAGGTCATAGGGCCCTAATCCAACAGGAGTGGTGTTCTCATAAGAGGAAGAGATACTAGGGGAGCGAGTGCACAGAGAAAAGGCCATGTGAGGACACAGCAAGAAGGCGGCCATCTACAAGACAAGGAGAGAAGCCCCAGGAGAAGCCAACTCTAACACACCTTGATCTTGGATTTCCAGCCTTCAGAAGTGTGAGAAAATGAATTTCTGTTGTTTAAGCCACCCAGCCTGTGTTATTCCGTTATAGCAGCCCTAGCAATTTAATACAACTACCTTCCATTTTTGTTCCATATTTCCCCTCATTGATCTGAACCAGATTCCAAACCTGAAGTGTGAAGCCATGGACTAAGCTGGTAACTATTAATTCAGGATCTCTCACTCAGCCCTTTAATTTAGACAGAGTCACCTGGACACCTAGTGAGACTTCATACTTAATATGGTTAAAATCAAACCCTTTATTTTCCTCTCTCCAAGCATACTTTTCCCACAGTATTCACCATTATCTTTAATTTCTTTTCCTTCTTTCCCTCATAATCTTAACATGGATAAAGTCCTGCCAATTTACCTTCAATGTGTTTTGTAATCCATGTCACCTTCTTCATTCTCACTCCCTCTGTGTGGTTCAGACCCCCCCACCCCCCACCCCCCATCTCTCTCTAGGATTACTACAGTAGTCTCTTACCTGCCTCCCTGACTCTAGCCCTTCTTCTAGTCATTCTCCACTCAGGGGCCAGGGATCCTGCCAAAGTACGTTTCTGGTTTTCTCACTATCCTCCATATCCTGCAGTGGCTTCCCACTCCTTTCGGGGCAAACTCTAGATTTGTTGGCACGGCACATGAGGTCCTTGGCAATCTGGCCCTGGCCTACTGCTCCAACCCACCTCCCTTCTCTCCCTGCCACCACACTCTGTGCTCTAAGTACCCTGAGCAAACTGCACTTCTCTGGATGGGTCATGTTTTCTCACTCCTGTGTATCCTTGCAAATACCTTTCACCCCATATTTTAACTCTAATGCTGCCTTCAAAACTGAGTTCAGCTGTCACTTCCTCTAGGAAGGCTTAGTTGATCCTCCCAAATCTGAGTCAGGTTGTGTCACAAACATTTATCACACAATAATATTATATAATAGAGTGTCTCACCATAAGAATGTGAATTTCTTTGGGTTATCGTTTTAGTCTCTGTATCATGTAACTGTATGCTAAGGATATAAAAATGAAACATAACTCTGTACTCAAAAGGCACCCAACTACATTAATTTTCTTAGACATGAAATGTGCTTAACAAAACAGGTGTTATGTAGAAGTATCATTTACATGGGTCATCCTAATGCTTATATAGTTCTCCTCTGGCACGTATAACATACCACCTGTAGAACAGTTATCCAGGTATACGTGGCTTATTTTCACTCTTTAAATGGTAAGCCCTTTGAGGATAGGGATTATAGCCTATACACTCATATCTTCTGTGGAATATTGGATAATATATTTAGTTACACAGTTAGCAAATATCTGAATGAACAAAATTAAATTAGTTGTCACTCATCTTTACCAAGCATTCATGGTAATAGTTTATTGTTTTTACTAAATAGTATATCATACTCACCCACGGTTTCAATAAGAATGATGTCATATCCTGCTCCTTCACACAACAGAATAGCTTCATTTGTTGTCCTTGTCACACCTCCTAACGTCCCTCTAGTAGGAGATGGCCTGATGTATGCATTCATATCTCTTGATAACTCAGTCATTCGGGTTTTATCCCCTAAGAGTGATCCTAAAACACAGTTACATTTTATAATTATTATATTTTATAATTACAGTTGTAAGGGCCAATTATCCATCAGCCAGTTCCTGGGGGGCCGCGGGGGTAGTGCTTTATGCCATTTCTCCCTAAATCTTCAAATTGTATTTCATATTATTGAGCTTTCCTCCAACTCACTGTGTACAATGATGCCAGCTTAATTTATGTAACATTTCAAGCTCCTAACAATCTGTAATGGCTTCCCACTGACCAGAGGTTCAAATCTGGATCCTTCACCCCTACCCTGCCCATCCAATTCCAGCTTCCACTAGTCCCCAAGTAACCCCTCTTCTCCAGTCCGGATTGTTTCTTCACTGTCACCTTAGCTTTGCTGTGTTAACTTCCTGCCCTGTTTGTGCCCTCCTGCCAGAGGCATCTCCCCTGTTTTCTCACCGTTAATTTACTGTGTCCCGAGTCTATGGTATGCATCGTGGCTCCACCATTTCGTGCTCTTCAATTTTGGAAGGTCACTTTAACTACCTGAACCCTTCTTTCCTCTGCTATATGACAGGGGTAATAAGCCACTGGGAGAACCAAATGTAATTATATATAGGAATGTACTTCAAAAATGGTTAATAAGCACCCTCTGCTCCCCATTCTGTTTTTACAAATGACATTTTCTCAGCCTCACATAAATGCTGTGCACACATACCTTCAAGCTGCCCCTTCCTGCCAGTCTGTTGTTTCTAATCTAATTCCTCACTACTTAGAAATTTTGGAGCCCTCATTGAATGCAATGAAAGCTGAATTAATGGATAGAAAGCTATTCATACAACATATTTTTTGGTTTCATATCTATGTCTTATATCTTTCACACAGTAGTTCTCAACTAGGGGCAAGTTTGTTTCCCAGGAGAAATTTGGAAATGTCTAGAGAGAGACATATTTACTTGTCACATCTAAGGGGTAAGGTGCTAAGCTAAGCATCCTTCAATGGACAGGACAGCCACCCACAATTGTCCCAAAATGTCACTAGTGCCAAGGTTGAGAAATTGTGCTTTAACATAAATTCCTTGCTTACAGGGCTATGTCTTACATATGTCGTACACTGAATGCTTAACAAGGTGTCCACAGTAGGCACTCATTTTAATACCTGTGGAATGAAACTGGTTATGTTTTTGTGTTCACTGCAGTATTTTGACAAACATCAATACTTACAAATCCTAGAAGATGGAAACCTCTGAAACAGCTATTATTACCTTTTACTACTTTGCTTTAGCCACATGCTAGCTTTTGTAGGTGTAGTACTATTCTAATCTGAAGATTTATTTTCACTCTGCCTAAGAGCCAATTTTCCCACATAAAGTTGAGGCTAAAGATTAAGAAGTTCCTTAAAGATGTGCTCTTTTCCCTTATAATTCCAGTTTAGGGTCTTCTCATAGGTTCTATTCTAGAGCATATACCTACCCCATACCTCAACTACCTTATTAACTTCACATAAAACTTTTTTTATAAAGTAATTGTCTACATGAAATCATCTCTGTGTAAGTCAACAATCTGCTGAAGCCATACCTTAAATTATTATCTTACAGATCCTAGCACACTGAACTACACGTTACAAAATTTACTCTCACGTTTTTGCCAATGAATCCAAAACTGCTAGTTGCAGACCCTCAGGGAGGTCTGAAAGCTATTATAGGGGTCTGTGAATCCAAATAATAAGAATTGATTGTAGACCAAAAAACTAATGCATCTCAAACTTTAATGCAATACTATTTTTCAAATGTATTATACGTACTGATGCAGTAAGGTAGAATTTTATATTTATAGTGTTCTGTTTATCTTCATATATTTTATTTCAAAGTCTACACATTTTTAACTCATTTTTTGTTTGTGAAAGGTTAGTAACTACATAGCTATGCAACTTTAACCACAGACTATTTTATGACATCATTTCTGCTACCTATTATTATCTCAAGCTATTATTTTCTTTTTCCATTGCAAGTATTCTCGAATATTATGAAGATGGAGGGGGAAAGACCTGCTCACCTACATAAAAATGAAGGCCACTTATCAAAAAACCCTTTATTAAAATACTTTAACAAAGTTCTAAGACTGTAAACAGATAACACAGGGACATGGATTTAATCTTGAACTTGTGAGTGTAAATTTTATTTTACAGCTAACATTTTTATTATAGTAAGTCAAAAATTCTGAATGATCTGAGTTTGATGTCTCAATAGGTGGTGACAGGAACTGTCCACCTCTCTACTGACCTAAGGCCCCCAAATATGATTACATCATCACTCTTTACTTTCTACATTAAACCCACAGTATACCACAACACACAAACCAAATACTTCCACAAAGCACCCTGGATTTACCCCTTTACAACACATATTATATTGTATTGGCTTGTGTTTACTGTTTGTTTCCCTCTTAAGATGTAAAGCTCCATAAGGCCAAGAAGACTGTGTGTTATTCACCATTGTGCAACACAGTACCTTCCACGCACGATGCCTCGCCTATAGTAGGCACTCAGATACTTAAGTGGATAACTGTAATATGAGAAGCTTAAATCACAGAGGAGGTAAGGGAAGAAAAACTATTCCTGAGTTTATACAGTATGCTTTATGTTTTCTTTAAATGATCCTTTAGGGAACTAAATTTATATTCATTTTATCTCTGATGAGCTGCAAATTAAACTTTGAGTGACTGCATGACCTCAAATAAGAAAGTAATTGCTGAACACTCTGCAATCTACAATGTGCTATGCTAAGTGCTGTAAGGGGAGCAGCAGTATATTACATGGTCTAAGAGCTTTCTGTTAAACTGAACGTATAAACGGATGACAAGTTATAAACAACTGTAGGATCTTTTTTTTTTTTGTAAGCTTAAGAGACATTACAATATGAGGAAAATAATGAATGAGTAAAGACCCATTTTCTGAATTGCACAGCTGCTAATGCAGCCAGGAAAAACAGGAGGGAAGAGCGGCCTAACCTTAGACATGAGAGCCAAAGGGCAGGAATTTGTTTTTGATCATCTTTAACTTTTAGCACCTATTATCCTAGTTCTTTAATTACCCACTGAGCTACCCACAGGCTGACCTCTGAAAAGTCCAATGCTCCCAAACTACCTCCTTTACTTTCCACCTTACTCTGCAGAACTCCCTTCCTTCAGTGAGACCAAAATCAGCTAACAGAGGTAACCTAACTGTGCAAATTCCCACTGAATTGCAACAGAGAGCCCCTACAGCTCTGCAATTTAAAAAGCAGTAGCCATACTTACCACCACTAGTACAAGAAGAAGGGTCTACAGCCAGCACAGATAATTTGTGCCCTCTCTCAGTAAGCATTTTTCCAAAATATTCTATAAATGTTGATTTTCCAGCACCAGGAGGCCCAGACAATCCTGTGGTGGAAAGAGATCTTCTAATTTAATGAAACAAATGAAATCAGAACTATGATCAGTTTTCATGAATAAAATATTAGACTACTTTCTATTTTCTCAAATTTATTAAAACTGTCATTAATATATTTTAACATGCCCAAAAAGAGTAAATGAAAATTCATTTCTTTATCTAATTCCTGAGTAATGGGGATATAGGAAGGAAAAAAATCGGAGTTCCATATGTTCACAAAATTCACTTTTAAAAATTAGAAAACATGCTCTGCCTTTGTACTGTAACACAGATCTTTTCAGACAACTTCATTGTCCATGTTGTTAATGTGGCTCAATTTCTACATCTGCACACCTCTCATCAGGATCCGTAATTATTCCACCTACCCCAATTCTGCACACTTTTAACTTCCTCCCACTGGAAAAATTCATTACTCTAGAAATTCCCAGTGATTAATTTTCATTTATAAAAAATCACTTTTTCCTTCATTTCTCTCATAACTCAAAGAACATAAACTGAATCCTGAAAAAAATAATAATAATTTGTGTTAAGAAAGGCAGAAAGCTCCCCTACTTGGAGAGTTGGCAGAGCATGGTGGGTAAGAGCACAAACCCTGGAGCTGCTCAGCCAGTTCTCCTTCTAGTTCTGTCTCTTACAAGCTGGGTGATCTTGGGCAAGTCACTTAACCTCTTTCTGTGCCTTAGTATCTTCCACAAGAAAATAGGTATAGTAATAGTACCTATCTCTTCATGTTGTTTTAAGAATTAGATTAGATAACAATTGCAATAGCTTTAGAATAGTGCATAAGAGATACATTAATGTATGTTCAATGAAGTATATAGAACATAAGCATTTAACTGTAACTATACTCGAAAGTAGGTATAGTATTAATATATGGTATGCCTGGCTTCTTACCACAACTCTCAGGGCAGGTCCTGTCTTAAACACCGTTAAAGGTGCTGAATAAACATTTGCTACTTTTATTTATGATGGTGATAAAAAAACTGCAATAAAGACACAGGTTCATCCGGTCTCATAAGATCAAGATGGAAGAGCCAGAATAGCACTACAAAGTTATGTGTGAATTACCAGTTAATTCCCGACATTTCTGGGACATTTTTTCTTCAAAGATTCTCTAAAACCTAGTATGTAGACACTTTGTCATGACTAGAATTTCTCTTTGGGAGTTTGCTATTTTCTCTGTCTATAACACATAAAGATTATTAATACCCAATGTAGTGCTCTCAAAATGACAGTCCCTCAGCGAGGGCAAAAGGAATAAGAAGTTCAAAAAATGTGGACCAGTACAAACATTGGTTGTTAGCTATTTTTAAATCATCTTTAAAGCATTTATGCCTATTACTCTAAAAACTAGGAGATTTTAGTCCCTGTATTGCCAATAAACTGTGATATAAAAGTAATGTCAGTCAATTTTTAAATGTATTTACTCATTCCCCACACAATTTCTGCACTTTGACCACCATTTCAAGTTGTTTTTAGCAGAAGGGCTGATTCAAATCACCTAGTTCACCATCACGGGACATGCTCATTCCACCTAAACTACCTTGCTTAATTCCTGCTGGTCAAACATATCTAAATTGCTTTAAAAGGCACAATTTCAAAAATATAACAAGCTAAGTTGCAATCACAGAGTCAAGTCAAATTGTTCAAGAAATCAAATGAACATCTAATGTACAGATAGCAAATAAATATGATCTTTTTAAAAATACATTTTGATGTTGAAATTGCTGAGTTTAGAGCTACTCCCAGAAACTCAATAAAAAGTTATCTAAAAGATGTGAGACTTACCTATACGAAGACTAAAGAAAGACCTAAGAAGAATTTTGAAATGTGATTATAGTTGATATAATCACAAAAATAAGGAATTCACTTTAGACTACTAAGTAGCACAAAAAAGGAATAAGCTGGTTAATAATTCTTCCTATGCATATTCTATTCTGAGAACCAAAGCAAGACTCTTGCCAAAATAAAAACCTTACATTATTTCTTTAAATACAGAGCCTTGTTTCAAATGGTCATGGCAATATTTTCAATATAACAAGACTAATATTTGCAAAGGACATTTAAAATCCAACCCAAATCTTTGAAAAAAAATTAGATTGCAAACTCTTTAGATTTATTACAGAATACAAAGAAGTTAGAAAGATATTTATGGAACAAAACAGACTGACCTACTCGAAATGCTAGTGGTTTTCCTTTATTTAATTGCTCTTGTTCTCTGTGGTAGACTAATACTTTTTGAAGAAGCACATGGGCTAACTCCTTTTTCCTGCTGTGAGTTGATTCTATAAGAGTTATGGCCTCTGCTAAGCGGGCCCTTTGCCCTTGGATTAAACCTGTATAAAGTTTATCCACAAATCTTTGTTCTTTATCAGAAAGTTCTTCTGTGTGGTCCTTTAAGGTTGTTTGTACACATAATTTTCTCTTTAAACCATTTGACAGCAGCATCGACTTTGTACAATGGAGTCCAAGAGAATTAAATGGCTGAGCACACGGGGTTCCTGATCCGAGATGAGTTCGTGAGGGGAAGATGAAGTGGTAAGGTCGGTAAGGTGTCCTTAAAAGGCCTTTTAGGAACCGCTGGTGGGGATGTGGCAGCAGCATGGGAATATTCATTTTGTTTGTAATTGAAGAAATCACTGGATGCGTTTTGGCTCAATGTGATTTGTGACCTCCCTAGAAGAAAGGAAAACATATTTTGGCCAGTTCAATATACAACTGAAATATGGAAGTAATAAAATTGAAAACATAGTGTTTTCTCCATATTTTAAACCACACATAATCAGGGTTCCTGGTAGCACAAATGGGTGAAAGTTTTCTTACTAAACTTAGAAGACTCCCTCTTTGGCCACAGTTAATATTAAGAGTAACACAAATCATGGAACTATTAAATATTACTTTACTGTGAAGTAGAATTTACATTAAAATTTTCTCCTAAACAAAAATGAAATGTATAAAACACCATTAAAGTAGAAATATTATGTCATGCTTTTTCTTACATTCATCTTAACAATTTCTTCAGGTCAATATACCTGATTCAGAAGCTCATAAGAAAGGTTTTTAAAAACAAATCCCTCTGATAAAGAAGAGGTATCACACCATATTTTCATAAAATTTTACACACACACATACACACAGACAGAAGGAATACATATATCAATATGTATATGGCTTCATCTACAGAAAGAATGGTATCATGGTGCTTTTATGTTGTTTTTTTTGGCTGAGTATATTTTTCTGATTTTTTAAAAAGCAATATATGTCACCATGGTAGGTAGAATAACAGCCCCTCAAACACATCCATGTCCAAATCCCTGGAATTTAGGAATATGTTATGTTATGTGGCAAAAGGGAATTCAAGTTGCAGATGGAATTAAGGTTGCTAATCAGCTGACCTTAAGATAAAAAATTATCCTAGATTATCTGGGTGGATCCAGTGTAATCCCAGGGACCTTTAAAATGAAAAAGGGAGGGGAAAAAAGAAGAGCAGAGTGACTTCATGTTAGGATTTAACCCACCCTTGCTGGCTTTGAAGGAGTGAGTGAGCCATGAATCAAGGAATACAAGCAGCCTGTAGAAGCTAGAAAAGGCAAGGAAACTGATTCTCCCCTAGACCCTCCAGGATGGAACAAAAAGCTACTGACATGCTGATTTTAGCCCAGTGAGACACATGTCAGACTTCCGACCAACAGAACTGTAAGGTGATAAATTGGTGTTGTTTTAAGTCATTGAATTTGTGGTAATTTATTACAGCAGCAAGAGAAAACTAATACAGTTGCTATGTTTTTTTTTTCTTTTTTTAAAAAAAGCAACCAAAAAATCTTTTCTTAAAGATAAAACCCAGATAGCCGGGCGCTGTGGCTCACGCCTGTAATCCTAGCTCTTGGGAGGCCGAGGCGGGCGGATTGCTCAAGGTCAGGAGTTCAAAACCAGCCTGAGCAAGAGCGAGACCCCGTCTCTACTATAAATAGAAAGAAATTAATTGGCCAACTGATATATATATAAAAAATTAGCCGGGCATGGTGGCGCATGCCTGTAGTCCCAGCTACTCGGGAGGCTGAGGCAGAAGGATCGCTCGAGCCCAGGAGTTTGAGGTTGCTGTGAGCTAGGCTGACGCCACGGCACTCACTCTAGCCTGGACAACAAAGCGAGACTCTGTCTCAAAAAAAAAAAAAAAAAAGATAAAACCCAGAATCTTTAGAATTTAATGAAAAATGTCTAATAACTACTCATGATTTAATTATCTTTGCCATAACCTCACTTCCTTTTACATTTAGATTTCTTCCTAACATGAGAATCAAATTTGATGAGTCCTTAACTTCACCCATTATTGTGACCATCAGTGTTACAGCCAATATATTTAGGTTAATTTCTAAATTATATATAAAATTAGCACATATACTAAAAAAAAATAGTAAAAAGAATTATGTGCAAATTGAAAAAGGCAATAATCACATGTTAGCTATTCTTCTAAGTCAGGCGTCCTCAAACTATCAAACTACAGCCCACGGGCCACATGAGGCCCGCCGAGGACATTTATCCAGCCTGCCTGGTGTTTTTGCCGCCGCTGCCTGTCCTACTTAGCAGCCGACTAGTCCAGGGCCCACAGTGCGCATGTGTGGAATGTGCACCGCACTCTCCAATGGCCCTCCAACGGTCTGAGGGACAGTGAACTGGCCTCCTGTTTAAAAAGTTTGAGGACCCTTGTAAGCACTGAGATTTTATCATAATTATAGATTTGAAGTTCAACAGTACTCTGAAATGACACGATGTACATGAGCTAGCAATCACTTTAGGGCCTTGTGGATTTTTTTAAACCATCTACATGCTATAATAAAAATTAGGTCTGGAATGCATATCTTCCACTTTTTTGCCTGAAAAATGCCTAGTCAGTCAACTAGACCCTCCCCTCTGGGACACATCTTCCCCTACATTTTCCAGGTTGTTAACTGTTCTATTTAATGCTCCAGAGCCTTTTGTTCACACCCCCGGTATAGTATTTGTCTTCTTGTTTTCTAATTTATTTATAGATCTTTCCCCCCAATTCTCATCCCTTACCTCAGTTGATGATCCTCCAAGAGAAAGAACAATATCTTATTCTTTATTTCCTCAGAATCCAGCACAGTGCCTGGTATACTACCTTATATTTCAATTATTATGTTTCAGTAATTTTTTTTTAGGTTCATGACTGCATGTTGTCTAATATACCACAAAGAAAAATCTGGGTAACAATCTTAACCTGTGTGATCATGGAGAACCTTTACTAAAAGCATTCTGCCTTCTAAGTTCCCTGTTTTGAATCAAGGCACCTTTGATAGCTAATCAATCTTCCAAAACAGAAAAACAGATAAGTTTGTAAGGAATCAAAACTCAACAGCAAGAGCTTTAATAAATGAAAATATGTCAATGTATAATAATGTTAGCAAATAAAATTCTCTAAATAAATGATATGGATAAAAATTACCTAATAAAAGTATTTTAGATTGCTCTAACATTTAAAATAGTGGTTTCTTACAACAACTTAATTGTAATCTTTCTCAGAAAATTCAGGCCAACCATCTGACAAGCTTATGGTTTATGCTGCAAGCTTTACCACAATTTGGGATTGCAAAGTTCTCTGCCTTTTGATGCCAATAGAAATCCTAAAAGGCCTTTAAGTGAAAAGAACCCAGGGAAAGGATGATACTGTTTTATTCCATTTTTTCCAAAACCAAAAGCTATCCAGATGTATATAATTTTAAGTTGTGACATCTTTAAGCCTCTCCCTGGAGGCTGATTTTCTTGGTGCCTCCAAACCCTCTGGACCACTGAATGACAGAGCAGCAGCTGCCACCTTTTACTGAGTGCTTATTATGTGTGAGGTATGCTGCATGCATTTCTTCAGCTAATCCTCACAACAATTCTACAGTGAACGATGTCTTATTTTACAGGTAAGGCTTAGCAACGAGGCTAACAGACTAAAGCCTCACAACTAGTGGCAGAATCTGGGAAAAACTATGGATTTCATAAATCCAGATCTATATGGTGTCAACTCCAGAGAAAAAAATAATTCCTATATTTGAATATGGTATGATTATGGCTAGATGTTTATCTTTTTAATTTTTTAAAAGAAAATTAAAAATTAATTTACATTTCCCATGCAAACCTTATTAGGAGATCCCAATGTGTTAGTTGACAGAACAGACTAAATTTTAAATATTATATCTTTAAATGTTTTTCACGCCACAGAGAATTCACACCTGATAACTAAGTTCATAATACACCTAACCCCATTAATTTAGCCAATCAACCAGATTTTAAAGGAGCCCATAAATTTTTTTAAAGCCAATATAACTCAGCCTTGTATGAGCAAATTTCTACCATTATATACAGTTCACAGGCAGAATGGCAAAATCAAGTATGTAGGTAAGAATGACTTCCTACCTGCTCATGTAACTAAGCATCTTTTCCTGCTTTCTTATGGAAAGAAATCAAAGAACTTGGACAATAATCAAATCAGATTGTTTCAACTAATTTTCATGATTCCTGAAAGTATGGTTTCTTCCTACACTTTATAAGCTAAACACTACCAAAATACAAGAGAAATTCTCCAGCATTTTACAACATTCATTAAGATACCTCAAAGCATTGCCATGTCTAGTAAACTAGAATGTCAATTTATCAATACATAATGAAAAACAAAGTGAGCAGAAATACTAAAATGGGTTGGCAAGTGCACCCCCTCAACTGCAAGAAGGTTCACGTGAACATTAGCATTTTAAGATTTACATTTGCTTTCCTCAAAAATATCTTTTATATCCATTCCTTCCTCTCCATCCTCACTGCCTTGTTTCTCTACGACTGAGTTTCAAGTTCTGATTGTAGTCCGCAGGAATACATTTACATCAGTCAATATACACGTGTAAAACTGAAACTAGGGTTTCACAATACTTACCCCTATCACATGTCATATGCTCTAATACCGTCTTTTCAAATCTTTTCTAATGCAGATTGCAGCCCATCAATGGGCACAACCCCAATCTACTGTAGCCACCTCTTTGACTATCATTAATTCATCTTCCATACTACCATTTATCCAAAAGGTTCCCTCTGCCTTATCTGCCTCCATACTTATCTGTAAAAAAGAATATTTTTCTGTGATTGAGCCATTCATTCCTTCAGCATATATTTACTGAGAATCTACTATATGCTAGGCATTGGGCTAGGCCTTGGCACATGGCTCAGACATGACTCCTGACATCATGACGTTTACAATCCAGCCAAGACAGTCATTACATAAATATTTTCATACTCTTTGAGTGCTCTTGTCCACCTTTCCAACTTAATTCATTCCCCTCTTCCACTTCTACCACATGGCTATAACTATTCTGATCTGCACGCAGGGCCCAGAAAAAGTTACACTCCTTTATGCATCTTGGCCTTTGTCCATGATGTTCCTTCCGGTTGAAATGCACAAATTCCACTCCACCATCAAGATTCAACCCAAATGTCTTCTTCTCTATTAAGAGTTCCCTGGCCTCCTTTCCCCACCCCTTCAGTTGTCACCCCTATCTTTTTTCCATTGTGTAGTGGCTACAACTTGTATTATAGTGCTCACCACACTGTACTGTGTTCCTTTTTAAGATGTCTTCCCTAGACTATGAGGTATCTTTGTATCCACAACACGGTTTATTGCTCACAGAATGAATGAATGTATGCCACAATTTTGCATGGGTCAATAACTCCATTACACTGATTACTTAGTTAGTTGATGTTTTTAAAACATACATTTTCCTAGATTTTACAGTAAATATATATTTAAGGACTTTCTTTTTAAAGTCTGATTTCAATATATGGATGTTTTCCTTCATTAAAAATTTGCTCAGCAGCAGCCAGTCTGACTTGGGATATTTGTCTTGAAATTGATCCAATGAATATTCTCAATTTCAATAACTACTCTGGCAAGAAAAAGTACACAGGATTTCCAAAATCAATACATTAGGTCAGTGTCTGCGGCACAGCACAATTCATACAGGCAGTGCAGTGTTATGCCACGTGTTTCCATTTCTCACTGCTGAATCACTTTTGATTTGAAGATAAGCTGTCAGATGCCATTAATCTGTTTACCATCTCCCACCACCTCCACAGAGGCTTTACTTTCTCCTTTTTAAATTTCAGAGAATTCTTATAGAGTAGAACAACTTTTTAAATAAGCAATTTTTAAATAGATTTTAAATAGGTCATGATTATTTAGGAGTAATACAGATCACATACTGATTTCATGAAGGGATTCTCCAAAGTTCTCCGTCCACTTTACTTTTTATCCTTTTCAATAAGACTCAGATTTCCCAATTTCCACTTTTATGTTTCAATTTTCTTGGGAAGTCTCTATTTTTCTAAATTTCCTCATCATGAAACACTTTGATTCATTCCTGCTGCTACCACCTTAGTTCAAATCTGCACTTGTTTTAGGAAGCTCTGAGACCAATTATGGTGCCTGGCAATCTTTCATATCATCAAAGTTTCTTCATCTGCAAAATGAAAACATTAAGACCTATACATCAGGGTCATGGTGAAAATGAATTGAGATAGTGTGCCTGAGAGAGCCTAGCACAGCACCTGGCATCAAGCAGGTGCTAATTACCTCTAAGGAACCTTTCTCTTTTCTTCTCTCCCACTCTGGGACTTCACAACAAGTCTCATCCTGAATTGGGAAATTCTCAGGCCCCATCCCAGACCTTGTGAATCAGAAACTCCAGAAGCGGGGCCCAGAATCTATTTTCCTACGCCTTCCAGTTGATTCTGATGTATGCTTAAGTTTGAGAACCACTGTTTCAGGATAAAGTTCAGTCTTCTTTGTCTAGCATTATAGGGTTTCCCCCTAACAATTTTCTTCCATTTCTTTCTTGCGTGTGCCTTTCCAGACCTCCATTATGAAGAGTTCACTATCTTTTAAACCTGCTGCTTACTTTCCCAATTCTGAGATTTTACTCATCTGCTACTTCTCCCTCTCTGACACCTATCCTATCCTACTCAGCTTTAATTCCACAGTTTTCATAAATTCTTTCCTGGCAATCCCAGTCTCCAGAATTTTTTCTAACCTCTAATTCCATTATTTCTGAACACTGATGTTCTTCAACTTACGACAGGATTAAGTCCGGATAAGTTCGTTGTAGAGTCAAAAAATCATAAATTGAATCATCGTAAAGGAGAGAGGGGTCGTTTGTACTCAGATGAAAACAGGCAGAGCTTACAAACTACCGTGTTTCCCCGAAAATAAGACCTACTCATAAAATAAGCCCTAGCAGGATTTCTAAGCATTTGAGCAAAAAGCCCTACCCAGAAAATAAAACCTAGTGATGGGCGTGGCTACGCAGTGTATCTGCACAACCCCATGCATTTGGTCGTAGAGCGGTAAAGAAGATGAGCAGCCCTTCTCATCTGCCTCATGAGAGTTCTATTGCTCCACATGAGAGACTGGGGCCAACGGTTCTAAAGGAAATAGAGTAGCAAGAAATTCAGGATGGAATTTGGGGTTTGGAGAGTTATGATGATGTTTCAGAAGACAACTTAACTATATTTGAATGTAGTTTGCTGTACCGTACTTAAAAAAAATAACACATCCCCTGAAAATAAGCCCTACGGTGTCTTCTTGAGGAAAAATAAATATAAGACGCTTATTTTCGGGGAAACACAGTAGTTCCACCTGGTCCACAGAGGCTGTCTGTTAACTAAATTGGTTGCTGGTGACATTAGAAATAAAGAAAAATCACATAAAAACCATAAGATTTTTAGTCTGTGTTGGAGAAAATCAGATCTGTGTGTGAGGGACATTCCTACATGGCAAAATCAGCTGAAAGGTAAATGTTTCAAGCACTCACCAGCTCCTTGCATTCCAAATATAGGTTTTCTTTAGATATCTTTAAGTATCTCAAATGCTGACTTACATTTCTTATGGTTATGTAACTTTACACATTTGTTTTGTATCACCTAATAGAATACAGCCCCTAGAAAGAACTGCTCCTTTGTTTTCTTAAAAAAATTCCTATTGCCCTGAACAAAAATATTTAGTGCTCCTATGTAATAGATTATTCTGGACATTGCAGACAACCCCACAATGTTTAAGATTCTACACAATTCTTTTGGAAATTGTGGTATTCTACCAACTTGGAAAAGTTTTATTAGTCTGTTTATTTCCGTTTTCCAAAATACATGTATTAGAGAAACAATTCTTAAGAAAGGTAATAAAATAGGAAATTTTTATCAGATTGTTTTGTTGCCTTTCATTTCCTAATGAGAAATACGTATTATTTGAAGACAGCATTATCTTCTGTTGCAAGAGACCTAGTCCCTGCCTGGCGCAGTATGTGAGGGAACCTAGATACTGTTGGTGATTCTAGGTGTGAACCTACTTTCATATCCTAGATTTTATTGCCCCCCCCATGAGTTTTAATTTCCCTCTTCGGTAGCAGCCACACTAGACTCTCCTGCCTTTCTGCAACCCAGCCTGAGGTTAACCATTCACCAGGTTTGGTGACCATGCAAGAGCCACCTTACTGAAGCTGCCTCACTGTGGCACAAAGGTAAGTTGACAAAGCTGCCCAAAAGAATGAGAATTTTAAAACTGTTTACAGGCCTTTTCTTTTTTAAGGAAAAAACAAACCTTCCCTTTGAACCCATCTGCCCACGCTTACGCCACACATATTCCGCACCCCCAACATCATCCATTTTATTATAATATTCTCTTTTTCCTTCCCCCACCCCCAGTCCTCCAGGGGGCGCCCCCGACGACCCGGCTCGCCCCGGCGGGCGGCCCGAGGCGGGAGCTCGGCCCGGACTCCCGGACGCCGCGCGCACAACCCATACTCACCCGCCCGCAGCCGCGGAAGTGCCGGCTGGCCCCGCCCCTTCCGCCAGGTCCGTCCGCGCAGGCGCAGCGCGGGCTGCCGATGCGCGTGGCCCGCGGAGCACAGGGGCCCGACAGCTGGTTGGGGCGCGGCCGGGCTCCCAGCGGACGTGGCTGCGGAGTTCCGGCGGGTGGCTGACAGTGGGGGAGCGCAGAGGCCTGTGGGCCTGCGGCGTGGTGGGGGAGTTCTCCTGGAAGTGAGGCGAGGGAGGGCAGTTAATGGCCTCTGGGGTGGGTTGACTCCTTGGCCCTTCGCGTTGCCCTCGAGTGGGAGGCCGAGTCCAGCCCCCAGGCCCCCGGCAGCCTGCGGCGGCCGAGACGCGCTGGCCCCCTTCTTCTGCTCGGGGGAATCTTACCGTGTGGGCTAGTGGGCGAGACGTGTAGCGTTTGACAAATGGTGAAATGAAAGGAACTCAAACTCTGCAACGCGATTTGCAACCTGTTGGAATAAATGCTCAACGTTCTAGTTTTAAGTTTTTTAACTACGGCGTGGTTTTTAAAGGCCGAAGGACCCACCGATTTATGCTCTTAAAAGGCGCCCGTTTATACTGATTAATAGTTCTTAACTTGCACCAAAAGCCAGGACTCTAGGGCTCACCGCTGCAGGCTTGCAGGCATGCCCCCGGAAGTCACGGGGGGTGGGGGGTTGTTGAAAGGTTCACGCCTGAGATGGAGATGCATACTACCTGCCACCTCCCTGCGGGGCGGAATGGTAACTGATTTCTTTAAAACCTGTGAGAGGATGTAATAAGTAGTAAAACCCTGTTACGCTATTCTAGGATTTTTAGGGAAAACTTATTTAATCTCTCAAATGTTTGTTTTAATGTGAAAAATACAGCATACATAGGCAATCGCCAGGATCAAATTATGACAAGTATAAATTGGGGCTATACAGTATAATTAGTATCTGGAGCAAGACTTAAGTACTCAGGTATTTGTGTAATTGCATGCATTTGGGAGGATTTGGGCCTTCTCAACTATTTGATATAGGTTGATTCCTGTGGAATATAGAGCAATAAAAAAATGAGTTGTTGGTCTTCCTTAAAATTTTTGTTCCTATTATTTAGACTAAAACACTACCACTTTTACACGAAAGAGTAGTCAATTACAGAAAATGAAACAGAAGTCTAAATGAAGCAGACAATCTAGTGGAAAGAACAGGAAGCAGTCAGACGACTCAGCTGTCAGCTACTGAACTCAAGCCCAATAAAGACAGGACCTGAGACTGTTTGCTTCATTTCTTTAAACTTGGATTTGCTCATCTGTACAATATTTTTTGTTCTTTTTTTTCATTTTTGGTAAGGGTTAAGATTTATGAAAGCTCAGTTTGCACTACCTTAGAAAGTGAAGTAGTTTGTTGATTGAAAACTGATTTTAAATTCTTTTTATTATACAAACTTGAAAACACTTTAGTCCATGTGACTTTTTTCTTATTCAAGTGTTCTCTAAACTGTGTTCTGTGGAACAATTAGTCCTTTGCAAAATAATAATGCTTCATGGGAAAAAAAACTGCTAGCATCACCAACACTGGTGAAGACATGAAGTAGACTTACTTAGAACTCTTGTCAAAAATGTTTAGCCTGAATCTGATTGTGAGGAAACCGATAAATACAGAATGTAATTTGTTTGAACTTTGCAATAATGTCAATATCATGAAAGATAACAAAAAAAGGCAGGAGAACTGGTCTACATTAAAGGCAACTGGATAGGATTAAAAATTTGAACATGGAAGTATAATACTATGGACTTAAGTTACTCAGGAATGATAATGGTATTGCAGTTATTCGAAGAATCCTTTTGATCTGAGGAGATAACATCCTCACTTAACTTAGAAATGAAGTCATGTCTGCACAATTCTTTCAGATAGTACAGACCAAAACCAAAAATAAGTGGCAAGAGAGAGAATATAGAGCACTTGGTAGTTTCAGGTGAATAGTATATGAATGTTCTTTTAACTCTTCTGTAAGTTTACAGTTTTTCTAAATAAAAAGTTGGAAACAATTTGTGGCTAGCAATTATATTTTTTAAAACAAATAACACTGATTATGTTTATTTATAAGAAATTACAAAATTTATGTTGTTTTCTTCACCCTTTAGGGACTCGGAGCAAACCCATTTCTGCCTCCCAGCAGGTGGCAGCAAATCAATACTCTAGATAGGGTGCAGTAAAATCATTGTAATTTTCTTGCCCTGGTAAATGTTTTTGATGTTGCAGACTGGCTTTCCTTAGCTAGAAGAGCCAAAAGAATATTGCTGCCAAATTACAGAATTTTAATATCAATTTATCAACTAGTTGGGAGAGTGTATGTAATGTATGTGACTAAATTTTATGTAATAATATTAATATTGTTCTTCATTGCTCATCTCTCACAGAACCAAAAGTCCATTTGTTAGCCATTTTGTTGGAATAACACTCAATAAAGCTCACATTATTTTCCATTAATTGACTAATATCCATCAATAAAACATCTCAAAGTTTATGAAATAGAGCTAACATATTCTTAGAGAGAAATTTATAGTTTTTCATGCCTTCATTAGCAAAGAGGAAAAAATTAAATCTAAGTCAGGGTCAGCAAATTGTGGCCCACAGGCCAAGACCAGTACATAGTCTGCCTT